ATTCGCACTTCCTTTTCGCAATTTGCTCAAATTAACTCGTTGAAATCGCAATCGTAAGCCTGTGTGTGTCTGCAGCTCGAAAGGAGGACGATCAACAATTTTTCTAATAAAGTGCTTATTCAATCAACAACATATGCAACCGACTCTCCGCTCATCGGCAACTGGACAATCAATCTGACAGCTTTCAAATGCAATTTATTTGACGTTGTTGACTTTTCCATGCCAAAATATACCGACTCGCTTGAGGGAGCCTCCGACAATGTTGCGCGCCGGAGGGAGAGGTGTCACGTCCGCGGAATGAACGTACTACGATGTACTACGCGTGCCAGCGTTAATCGCCGGTAGAAAAGGTTCGTACGACGCCACTTGTGAAAATTTCACACGCCTTCCACGTCCGTATCTCGGTGAAAAATTGACGCGCGCGCGTGTGAAATAAATCCGGGCGATCGCGTGCGTCCTTGTCATGACACGTGTTTACGTGTACGACTGTGACATGCGATAGACGCGATACATCGTTGCACAGAAATGGGTAAAGACGTTTGAATAAGAAGATGGAAAGCATCGCACAAAGGGCGCAACAATTCTGCGTGCAAAGGTTCCCGTGCAGTTCGCGCGACTTTTGCCACGCGGTGCGCGCGCGCGTGTGATTCGAGGCCTGAAGCAATATTTTGCAACCGACGTCAAGTTCTGAGTGAAACAAGGCGGCTGAAACCGTAGGAGGGATTTTACGGAAAACACAAATATCACCTCGAAGCGAAGCGACGGAGAGCAAAAAGTCGGACGGCAAAATCGGGCCGCGTAACACGCTGCATTTCCTCTCGTTCCGCAAATTCCAACGCGCGCGCGTGTAATTTTAGTTTTATATTAAATTCCGTAAATAGTCGCGACCGAATTTTAACCATTGATCTCCGCCGACACGTGCGGCGAGCATGCGTTTTGTGCGTCGCGTGCGTCGCACTGCGAGCCGATTGCCGTGTCATTAGTTTCGACTGATTCTTGTGCGTCCCACACGTAGCAAGTCGCACCTTCATTTTGCCGTCGCGATCGACAGTCGCGTCGTCGCTCGAGCGTGTCCGCTCGTTTACAGAGATCGACCGCTGCTGCAACATTGCGGACGAAACATCGGCCGCTAACAAAAACCGACAGTGATAGATCACGCGAAGGGGCAGCTAGCGGTAACGCTGCGCAGTTCGTCCGGCGGATTTCTCCCCGACAACGAAATGCAAACGGCATCGCCAATTAACATGTGCAGTATGCAAATTAATATTTAAAGACTTCGAGCGGGTGGAGCTTGCGGCAGCGCTTGCGGTCGAATCGATCGAATTTACATTTCGGCTTTGCACGGATGAAACTAGATTTCATACGATTTTTATAGAAACGCGCGTATAATGAGCGGATCGTTTTTCCACTCGTCAAGTAAAACTCTCATCAACTCTCAAGTAAAACCGACTGCAAATGTCGAGCGAAAGAGATTTACGGCGAAGCGGATTCCGCGCGTGGGCACACGTTCGAGAGCGACGTGAAAATGTCCCGCTGACAATCAGACGATGTGATTTACGCGAGTCGCCTCCATCTGGAGATTAGTCGAGATTTAGCAGGAAACACGTCGATCCGCTCAGATCCTCCTAATTTCCTTAGAGCTTATATCTTCAGGGAACGGAAATAGTTTATCGCCGGCAGCACACCTACCCCGTTCGGCCGTCTCCGATTTCCGACTCACATGGAAAGCCGTCCGATCGCTCGCGGAGATTGACTACTGACAGGATCAAAAATCCAAGCCTCATATCACGCGAATCGACGCGCGCGCAAATGACCGACGAATATAGTCGCTTCATATATACGTGTACACGAGACTTAATTTCGCTCGAAAATTATTGCAAAAACCAACCTGCCGTAATCTTGTACCAAACTCGTGTCTATGAACGAAAAATTCGTAATCAGATTAGACCTCAACACCTTCGTCAGCAGCGTCACACACGTGTATCAACGTGATTATTTTTCTTTCTATGGCCACATCATGGACTTACCCCCATACACAGACTTTCTACGAGAAAGATTTCAAAACAAGATATAAAAGTTAAGGGGGGAATTATATGCGTAGCAAGCTGCTTTCAAGGCTGTTTTTGCGAATTTTTTTGACAGAAACGGTAGGATCAATGGACTTGAAATTTTTACAGTGCATTCATTAATGTTCAAAGTATAAAATAAATTTGTTACTATTTATATGGAAAGTACACATAAAACTTTAAATGTGTTTATCTGGAAACACCACTTTCTTAAACTATCGATACAATTACGCAAAAACTACTGAACCGAAAACTTGAAATTTTTACACAATATACAGTAGACATGTAGTTTTTCCGCGCCCCTACCTCAAACACATATATATTTTATTTTATTCATTTTTTTTTAAACATGATTACAAGTTGAAAAAAAATTTCATTTCCGATACCTTTTCTTTGTACAGCCATTATTTTTCCAAACTTGGCTTCACTTTGGGTACGGGCCTTCATTTTGGTACAGGCTACAATGGCAATACCAGTCCGTACCAAATACTGTATATTTTAAAAATCTTTCTCATTTTTTCGTTTCAGAGTAGTGAAAAGCCCGAAATTATATCGACGGCAAACATAGAGCTCGCAAACGAATGACTGCTCTTTTATCTATATTACAAATAATTACAAATTGGATCGGTTCTTGTGATTCAATAAAATTTATTTTATATTTTGAACATTAATGAATATACGGTGAAAATTTCAAGTCCATTGATCTTACCGTTTATGTTGAAAAAATTCATAAAAATAGCCTTGAAAACGGCCTTGTATGTGTAATTCTCCCCTTAAATGTATTCCCCTTCCATTATTTTCGTCTAACTTTCAAAAAGAAAATAAAATTAGACAAAGATCGAACGTTTATACGGCACAGGCCATCTTCTCCAAACGCGACCCTCGCAGCCTCTTGTATAATCAAATTAAACGCTCAGTCTATGCGCCGAAGTCCACGTAAGCAAACTATGAGCTAACTAAAACGTTCGTTTCACACAATCGTATGAAAAAGAAAAAAAAAAAGAAAGAAAAAATTCTTCCGAATGAGCTCTGGTGGAGAGCGTGTTAATTCAGACCTCGTTCAAAATCTCACGATTTGTGGCACAGGTTCAAAAGTTCGTGCAAATGCCTGAGGCACGATCAATCTCTTTAAACGTCTCGCGGGGCAAACGACGTGCTCGTTACCGCCGCCAATACAAGACGCGACGGTGATTTACGCGCGATTATTAACCGTACAGCTAATCGAGCGCGCGCGGTATTAATCGCTTAGCGTGTCGATTTTGTCGCAGTCTTCGCTAATTTCCTCGACGGCCCCCACGGGGCCGGAGCGGAAGAATTTGTCAGCCGGGGAGCACTCGCCTAAATTACCGGGGCGTACTTGCGGGAGAATATCCTCCGTGTCGAGGCGCTTCAGCCCACCATTAGGCTGTTAATGCCAGTGACACGCGCAGAATTAGCACCCCAACGGCGAATTACACGGAATTTATAACGGGAGCGGCGTGCATAATGGCTGGCCCGGCACTTCGGGCCAGACTGTTTGCCGTTAAACAAAAGCGAGCGAGAGTCTCCCCCCGTGAAAAGCGCGGAGAGTCGCCAAGACGCTGAAACGAAACCGATATAAAATACGTGCGACGTTCGTGCCAGACGGCGCCGCGGGGCGCGTTAGCGCCTCGAAACTTGCTCTACTAATAACTGCGATCGTTTAATGCAGAGTCTACGAAGAAAACACGATGCCGCTCGACTTTCATCGTTAGCTCGATCGCAAGAAGTTTGAGAGATCGACGAGTAACCGACCGTCTGAGGGTGCAAGAAGGGGTGGGAGCAATTAGAGACGCGAATCGAGTCGCGGTCGATGAAAAACACGATCGCGGATTTGCGGGACGACTCGCTGCTGAGAGAGAGAGAGAGAGAGAGAGAGAGAGAGAGAGAGAGAGAGAGAGAGAGCAGTCGCTGGATCTCGCGGTTTCCTCAATCTTTCCCGACGTAGACGCGATTTCCCCTCAATTACGGCTCGGGCGCTTATACGATTCCGAGGAGCTCCGAGGAGAGACAGCTCGTAGACGCTAGAAAGAAGGCGGCGCGTGACAAACGATAATAAATGATTCAAGATGGCAGGGCCGCCGCCGCTCTCGATAAATAAACCCGGCAATTTCCGGAAAATCCTATCGCCCGGAGGCAGTGCCTGCCTAAGCGCGCACCTGCGACCAACTTCCGACTGGTTTTAAGCCTGTTTAGCCGTACGCCACTCGCTAACTGGTCGAAGAATTAATTATAACCTTAGTCCTCCGTGAGAAGTTTCGAGCGCGCATGACCGATCGCCGCTCCGCGCGACGAATCGTAATTATGCAAAAGACGCCGGCGAATCATAGCACGTCGGGCCGGTATTTTCGGCGAAGGAAAATGCCTCCCGATATGGGCGACGCGTTCACGCGGGCTGAACTATTTTTCTCTGCGCCCTCAATTTTTCACGACAACAGCGCTATTCTGTGAATCTTTAACGGATTATAATTTCAACTTTTCCCATGTACAAAAACGCCGCATAGAAATTCTCTCTGTGAGAGGAGAGGAGAAATGGCAATTTGTTTTAAACGGAAAAAAAATACGCACGCGTGCGCGCGCGTAAATGCAATTTTACATCTGAACGTCGCGCACGCGGCTTTTGTCTCTGGAAAAAAAAAAAAGAGTCGAAGAATATTTTTAACAGAATATTTTTAACGCTTTTTATTAAAGCAATTGCAGCCGCATTTTCGTATCCGCGTCGCTGTTCAAAATTATTTTTTGCCCGAAAATGATCCCATTCACTCTGAATGAACGAGACACTTCGCGACGACGCGCGAAACGAGAAAGACAGCGCGCCTCTGTCTCCCGCCGTTCCCGTGGAAGGGCGGTACAGCAAAGTGGAAATAAATTCATGGCTTACGACAAGCTTACATTCCCCATTAATATTTGTTCCAGATGGAGGCGTAGTCGGTGGCTCGAGAACAGGCCCAGTGGTGACTCCGCACACGCTGGAACTGACACCACGTGGTAGGGTTTTACTGCAGCTCGCACCGCCGGAAACCGCTCGGGCGTACCTGCCGCCAGAATATCGACCCGGCCGCGTTTATTCGGACACGGATTCGGAAAAAGTACGTCACACTCAGCGGCCGCCTAATGACGCGCGCCGTTAATTTAATAACAGATTGCGCGCCCTTGGCCAGGCCCCGCCCAATGGATTTTCCAGAGCGACCTTCCGCTATTCGCAGTCGTAGATCTGTCTGCCGACGTTGTGACGGAAATGAACGGCGCGTCGCGAATTTCGGCACGGTGCACTTTCCGGAACTATCCCCCGCGAACATATACGCCGCGCGAGACCTCCTCCCCCTCCTCCTCCTCCGCCGATCTGTCGGAGGACGGCTGTTATCATCACTGACAACGCGGATGATGATCATCATCGCTTGAAACACCGAGCGAGCGCGAACGACCGCTCGCGATACGCGATATTATCGCTGCGAATGCGAGCGATATATATCATCGGTCACGAAGGTCAATAATATCCGGGACAAAATCGGATGATTGCGCATATCTCGATCTGACGACGCGCGACGGGGATGACGGTCGGACAAAACACGTTTGTCACAGAGACGCGGCTTCGTTATTCACCCCCTGCAAATTACGCCCGCGCGCTCGTAAGTGATGGGCGTGTGTGTACCGAAGGGGCCGAGGACGCCAATGGTATAATTAAAAGAGCATCACGCGGAGAATTATTAACGTATCCTATTAAAATCCTTTCAGCGCGAAGGGGATTATGCCGAGACACGGCCGTCCTTTGACGGCCCGGCCTTTTTATTTGCCCGACTTTCGCGTTTCAGCGACAGTTGAATTTTTTAACGGAGCTGCGAATCGTCCGAAGGACCCGAAGAGCGAAGGGAGAGTCCGCGCGCGCGCGGACGGCTCATGCCGGTTTTTGTGTACCTTCAGCGAAATCCCGCTTCTGTGCGTTTCCACCCCCGCGAGCTTTTTTTCACTCCGACGTTCGGTGGATTTTCTCGCTTCCTCTCTCTGTCTCTCTCTGTCTCTCTCTGTCTCTCTCTGTCTCTCTCTCTCTCTCTCTCTCTCTCTCTCTCTCTCTCTCTTTCCGTCCCTCTCCTACGCCTTTCATTCCCTTCAGCGCTATGCTTTCTTTCCGCCGACGGCCGGATGGAGCTTCGTTGTTTCAGCACGACCGGTATTTATCTCTGCAGATTAAAGGGAGAATAAACGGCGCGCACGATAAATAAACTTCGGCACGTCGTTCTTTTGTATCGCCGATTTCAATGCTCCCCCCGCTGTCTCGTTCACCTAACGAGGAGATAAGTCCTCCCACGAAGAGGGAGAGGAGAGAGAGGAAGAGAACGCGCGAAACGCTGACGATGTATCCCGCTGCATCCATATCGCTCGTTAATCACGCGAGCAGACGATCGGCCGTAATTTACGTTCACACGATGACGAAAGGACATCGCGGCCAGCCCGTTGCCACATTGACACGTTGACACGTGGCAGTAAAAGCCGCCGCATTTACGACGGAGGTTCGCAACGGCGAACGTCGCTGTCGGCCTCTCGGCACTATGCCGTGGCGAATAGCACGCAGCATCTCGCAAGGAGAGAACAGAGAGCTCTCGCGCTCGCCAGGATTCGGCGGATCTCGCGGGATAGATCAGACGACGAAATCTGGCCGGCGCGTCGTAAGTATTGCGTGAAACGCGCAGCTGCCAATGAAGGGGGAGGCAGTGTCACGCGCATGAATTTGTGATGCCACGTGGAGATCGATGTTGACAACGGGGCATCGATATCGTGCGAGGGCCGTTTTGTACATTCGAGCGTATTAATTAACCCGCGTATTTCATTGTTACATAAAAAGTAGAACTCTTCTCCCGGCTCAAGCTATCGGCAAAAGGCACAGGACGATATTGCTCGTCTTGATCGCGAAGTATTGATTCGATGCGAGATTCGACGCAAGTCCTCTCGATAAAACTTAGTTAGAGAATTTTATCCAATCTCTGTCTCCCCCCTGCGCCCGATGCTAACGTTAAAAAATGCCACGTCCAGACTCCCGATTCAACGAAGCGAACAGGTACAAGTCCGCGTCGACGACGCTTCCAAACTGCCGAGGAGTAAACATTCGATCTGCGGTGACGGCGTTCGCGGCAAGAATTACCGCGATGAAAAATGTGCAGCGCGTCTCGGCTGGAAATAATTAACAGTTCGTCGGGCATAGCCGTATCAAGCTGTCGTATGGACAAACTTTGTGAGGACGGTGAGGAAGAGAGACTCAACGACTCGCCGTGGACGGAAAAGCGCGAAAACAAGTGCTCGCGAGCTTGCCCGCGAGCTTCTGCCGTAACGAAAAGAAAAGAAAAAGTGCGACAGACTCGTGTGTAACCTTTCTGTAACCTGCTCCATTTGCCGAGCGCACACGGTAGGAAACTGCAGCGGGCGAGCCTCGCAAGACTACCTTCGATCGGTCTCGAGTGCAAATGATGCCTTCGGTCGAAAATATCCCAGATGCGTCACCGATGCGCGCCTTACCGGCCCTCAAAGCCCACGATCAATTTGCCAGCGCTTGCGAGCGCTCTGTTCAGAAATCGCAAAATGCCCGGCGACGACCACGCGCCGTATCGCGGTGTACGACGATTATTTGCGCGAGACCAGCGCGGAAAAAGCGCTGTCTTTTCCCGACGGAAGTCGCTCTTGCATTTTTCACCGCGCGACATGGCGCGCGCGGGCAAACTGTCGGGATGATTTCTACGACACCGCGGCGCGCTGAGAGAGTCGTGCAAATGCCGTGACACACGGCATGCAACACACGGCTTCCGTCGCTTGCCTCTTCACGTAAATAAACTAGAAAACTAGAGAGGGGCCCTACAGCTTCAGCTCGCCAAGATCTCGCCAAGATGTCCGCGAGCGTTCCCCGGCATTTCTAATTACGAATGCTGGCAAATGCCATACGTCGCCTAGATGAGACGAAACGCGTGATTAAAAGTGACGACGAAAGCGTGACGTTTATGGATCGCACGAGACAAAAGGTCGCTCCTACTGCCCGCCGTTTCATCATCTCGCCGATGTCGTCTGCTGTTTATTCCGCAAACATTAATCACGCTCGTTAAAACCGTTCACTACCGCAGGACCACCCTGTATAATGTTTTGCAGACGATGAAATGTTACTTGATGAATTAGAATTAACACGCTTAATCAGTTTATGTGGACGTGGCATGAAAACGAATCGCCGTCACGAGAGTCAGAAGGAGCGTGCTAACGAATGTACGTATTAAAGAAAAGACGCATTAGGCGACATTAATCCTGATATTTTCTCCGGATATGTCGGAAAAATGACGTCTATTTGCGATAGCATTGATGGAGAGTATCGACTGTTGTCAGTATCGAAATTCCTGAAAATATCCGATATTCTAGCATCCATGCACATATATATATATATATATATATATACAATTCTCCCTGTGCGCGCATGCCTACACATTTTCTCTCGCGAAAATAAGAAAAATCCGATTATTAAATCCGCTTTGGATGGGAGCAGGCTCGGTTGCCGAGACCCGAGATTGATGCATTATCCTTCGACGCGCGATATACAGTTTAGTCGGCAGAAGAGAGTTTACCATGGCCGAGAATATCTTTCCTCGAGATGGCCGCTCGTTTATTTATCAGCCTCCGCGATATATACCTTCGCCCGGCGTGTGGAGCTGCACTCTGAAATATATCGCGAGCTTAACGCGGTTCAACGACAATATTTCTCGCCATTTAACGTTTCCCCGGAGAGACGCCTCTTGCATCTGAATTTGACTGAAAGAATTTACAACCTGCGTTATATATCACTCAACGTCCATACAGATGCATCCCCCACGTGTTCAGACGCTGAAAGAAAGGTCGCAACGTTTCCGGATTGATGAACCTCAGAATACATCCGGTGCTCAACGGGCAACTGTGTCTTCTGGAGATTGTTAAAAAAAAATTCTCCTATATTGAACACACGGATACGTTGGCCAGATTCATTGAGGAAAACGTGTTGCCTTGAAACCTTTTTTTGATTGTACGATAGACTGAGAGAAAAGTATATGATATTTGGAACTATAATGATATAGTAACTAAATTATTTTAGTCCGAAATATCATATTTATAGCAAGCATTGCCGTAATATCGGTAATAATTACGATATAGGCATAGTATTATAATCAACCATATAATATTTTTACTAAGAATTATAGTAAGTTAAACCAAAATTATTGTATGGATACAAATCCATAAAATGGTAGGTAAAGTAACTCTTTTATATAGTCAATATTACCAGAATATTTGCTAAATGATGACAGATGTAACTATATGAATATTAAATCTCACTGTATTTGTGAATGAGAAATTACCATATATGTGGTGAAAGTAACTAAACAATTATTTAAGACAATCATTGACTATATATTTGTGTTTCTATTCGACTGTATTTTGCAGATTCCACGAACTATAAAAATATGGTTGACGCCAAAATGAACTGAAAAATATAGTGAGATTATAGTTAATTCAACTATATTTTTCTATCAGTGTATCGTATACAACTGGAAGAGCTACAACTCATACGGAAAGAATTTCCTATTATTACAGGACGTTCGAAAATTACGGGGCTAAAGGCTAAAGGTGTAGTTTTTTTTCACACTGTACTTCATGTCCATCAAAGACGGAAAACTGTCGCTTTGGAATGTTCCTGTTTCCATTTCCGAAAATTCCCATCTCACTTCTCCGTCAATCCCCCCGGAAATCCTTACGACACTAAGCATGTCCGACGCTAAGCATGTACCCGATGAAAGTCGATTTCACTCTGATTGCAGATGTGGATGTACTCATTAGGAAGAGCGTTATTGGATACAACTCCCAGAGTAGCGGCGTTAATGGGAACCGTTTCCGTTTCGCCCTCCTCCGCCCTGCAGTCGGTTTTGGCTGCTATGACGGAGCCTGATCCTCGCAGACGTGCCTCTTTGATGAATCTCCTCGACGTAAGTCCCTCAACTCTTAACGGAATTTTTCCGCCTGAACGCAGACCTCTCTTCATAGCGAACGTCATTATCTCCTCGTCAATTAGCAAACCCCGGTTCGTCACGTATGCCGTAAGCGACATGCGCAAGCGTTGCGCAAAGCGCGATCGAACGCATTTCCGAGTTTCGTCCGCGCTCCTCGAAAGGCTGTCGCACTCGATTCGTCGTTTGTCATCTGTGCGAACGCACTCACGGGACAACAATGTTGCAGTCCGTTAATAGAAGCGCGAGGCCACCGATTTCGGACGGCGCAGATATGGTCGGATAGTTCGGAATTTCGAATTTGTTGTTGCGTGAGCGAGGCGCACTCTCTATCGGCCGTGCGAAATAAATCAACGAGTATCGCCTCTCGCGCGACTCTTCGGCGCGCTCGATATTTCATCCTGCGCGCCGTGCGCTGCATGTGCAACGTGTAAGTCACCCCTCTCGCGTGTATCTCTCGATCGCGGTCCCAACGCCTCTCGGTATCCTTCGGTGTTGCGTCACGTTCGCGTCGGACGAGCGAACGTTCTCGCCACGAGAGTGCGGATAATTGTGTTCCATCGGTGTTTGATATACCGCGGTACATTCCACCGATCATCTGTTCCCCTGTCCTCCTCGATAACGCGCAGAAATATCTTAAACTAGGTTTCAGGTGATTCACTTGATTATTTATCTTCGTCACGCTGACCATTCGCTCTTTCGCGTCGACACCGACAACTTGTTTTCCTCAATTATTCGTCATTTGATTCGCTCTATTCAGGGCCAGTTTCGCACGGCGCGGGTCATCCCGAACAGCGGCCCGCAAATGCGAGACGCGTTAAACGTACCTTGCCGTGAATCCTCGCGTTATAATAGCCGCTGCATTAAAATCAAACGCTTTCGCGAGTGACCAAAGAAGCGCCAGCGCCGGTGAATGGAACGTATCACCGCTGCGTGCGGGGAACGTTACACACTCGACACATACGACTGCGACTGCGATCTTCCGCGGTTAACAACAATATCTAATTGCAAGTAGCGCACAGTGACATTAATTTGCACATCACGATTACAAATGACGAGTCATTCAACGTCGCGAACGTGCAACGGCTCGAGCAGCTGCGTTGGACTTGAATTGCGCGTATATATGCGAAGCACACAGCGCGCGATCAAGAGGAGAGAGAGAGAGAGAGAGAGAGAGAGAGAGAGAGAGAGAGAGAGAGAGAGAGAGAGAGAGAGAGAGAGAGAGAGAGTGGCCGGGTCGTCTCCATGGCGGGAATAATAAAGCAATTTGTCGCTAATAATTACGCTGCGTCGTGACGTTGAAATTTCGAGTCGCATCGCACGAGAATATCAAAGCGACTCGGTCCGCAACCCTTGCGCACCACGTGACTACGGGACCAAACTAGACAAGCTCGCGGTGAATGCAGTCTCGCATTTCCCTTCGATCTCCCTTTAACGATTCATCCGACCAAGAGGTCGCTTCGATTGAGGGGTGAAATCGAGCGATCAACTTCTGACGAGTCTTCTTTTTCGAAGAAACTTCGTCGGACGACAACCACGACGAGGGTTTGCATCTAATATTGACATCGCAGACGGTCGCAAGTCTCTTTGAGCGTTTTTCGGCGGAATTACTCGAGCAGTCTCTCGATTCGATCTTTTTCCTCCAAAAATCGCTCTTATTACATCGATTCTTTTCCATGGAGAATCAACGTTGATATATTTCTTTGTCAGTGTTATTTTGTTCGATGAATAAGAATTCAATTGGGGTCGTATTTGAGACGATCGACCTGTAGAAAAATCGAACAGCAAAGAATAAATTAAAAAAAGTCGATCTTGAGAAGAGATCTGTTCTCTGAAAATGGAATCGCGATCGCCCATCGCCCATCGCCCATCGCCCATCGCCCATCGCTACTAAGAGACCAGAGAAGATGGGATCGAATGACCGCGCGAACCGATCGCCTCCGTCGGCGTAATTCGAGCTCACGTCGGAATCACGTGGACCGCGTCTGAGATTTCGGCAATATCGATGTGAGATGGATCGATCAGCCGGCGTTTTAAAAGTCATCGAAGCGCACAGAGCAGTTCACGAGCGTCCAGCATCGGTATAGCTCGCTTTAATCGAGACGGCTCCGTTACGAAGAGGGCGAGCGAGGGCGCGACGCGGCATTTGTGCGCGCGCGGCACCGGGAGACAAGCGACGAGGCGACGCTTGAGATGCAGGAGGAGACGTTGTTCCACGTTATAGCGCCACGTTATGACGCCAGCGTCCGCCTGACAGCGAATGCAGACGTCAACGTCTACGGCGACGCTACGGCGGAGAATGCACGGGCGCGCTCGAGTGGGTCCCGAAGAGGACGAGTGAATCGGAGACGACTCGGGGAGGAGCTCGATCCGCTCGACGACGTCTAATTAGCCGCACGCGAGTGTGCGGAAGCACAAAAAACGGGGAACGTCTTCGGGCGAAAATAATTTCGCCCCGTAGCGCTGACGCGCGATAGAATTCCGTTCTATCCGTGCAGCCCGGCTGTACGAAGTTTTTAATACAAGCGATCGGAAAGTTCGCTTCCTAATGAGACGCCCGATTGGACTCCCGTCGAAATGTTATAGCGTTGACAATCGCAAAGTTACGTAAACGGATCGGGTGGTCTGAGGAAATCGCCGCGTCGTCCGTTCCGCGAGTCGCGAGCGGGCAACTTGTAATGCGCCGAAGATCTCGCAGTTGGAGAGAAAATGCGGAGCAGCGTGTTGTGTGCCCCGCTCTCCTCTTCTCTCGCTGTGATCCTCCCCCTTTTTCGCGCGTAACAATGCATATAAAACGCCGCAAATACGACAAAAAGCGCAAATTGAATCTGGCCACCGTCAGCCGCGTATAATCGCACGGATATACATAATGAGTTATCGACGAGTTGCGGTCGTCGACGCGACACGTCCGAGCGATAACTCGATAACGAAAATAATACAGACGATGGGAAATGTCCCGCATATCCGCGAAAACGTGACGTCCGACGTGCAGAAGTGCGCCCCGCAAATGACATTTGCACGCGAGACGCCGCCGCGGCGTGCTTATCTTAACAACGTTGCTGTTAATTCGAACGCGCGTAAACTGCGCGCGCTTTTCACTTTGCCGAACAAATGAACCGTATTGTGTAAGTCATAAATGCGATGGATGTTACGCCGCGCTTAATCGAGCTCTCTATCGATTGCTCGCGCGTGTACAATCTATCCGCATTATAAATCGAACGAGACCGACGTTAATCGGAATTCTCGTATTTTATTTATCGCACCACGATTAAATCATTTATTCCGCATTTTCCGAGCGCGATACCAGCGGTACGGCGACTCTCTCGGCAAATCTCGCAGTTACACGTGTTGCACGTTGCATTCATTTTTAACGCACTGCTTCTTCCGCTGTATACATCATCGGATGTACCGCGGCGTCTGCAGAAATGCAAATTGAAATTTAATGGCGCTCGATGCTTCCACGACGCCGTCGCACCGTCGCGCGCAATTAAATGATTTTAATTGGACAGCAAACACACAAACACGCCGAATTCACGTATATAATGCGAATCCGCCGCGCGTTTGTAAATATTAGGACGAGCCGGCAGCGGGGGGCAGAATGCGCACGTTATGCAATCGTACGTTGCAACGTCGTCCGGACCCCCGCGCCACCCCCGTGAAGGGGTAGATGCGCGGGTTTTCGCATGAGCGCGGAGCACGCGAACGACGCCGAAATTTTTCAGTCGACATTCCGACAGCTACGCCAGCTTTGGAACGCGTAGAGTCCAAGGAAAGACCAGATCTGAGAAAATGCAACTCCAACGCTGGCGGTCTACGAGCGAAAAGTCATCACGACGTTTAGCTGCCTTCGTCTCGAATCGGCTCCGATTCGAGTCGAAGGTCCTCCAAAGTAAAGTGAAGGAACCAAACGCAAAGGACTATCTGACTCTGAACATTCCCGTTGTTTCGGTCTCTGAATGCGAATAAACTTTCGGCGTAGGGTATGTGTGTACTAATATATTTAATATATTTAATGTATGTTGAAATCTTCATTATTGGAAAATTTAAAGTAGAAAACTCGATTTAATTTGATAATGGAATTATATTCAATTTAATAACAGATATATTTATAGATAATAGCTTTTTTTTATAATCTAAAAATAGGATATATGTTTCACGACAGTTGAAGCACTTGCAAAGCAACAAGAATGTACAGAGTTAGGCACCTGCTCCGACATTGGTGTTACATTGGTTTTACCTCAAACGCAAACTTTAAGGAATTTATCTCGAGCGACAGTAGCATCGACAGTAACACGCATGAAAAATGGATTGCACGAGATTATATTGGCCACCCCCTGAGGGCCCCACCTGGTCAGTCGAAGATAAACAAGAAAATATTGCGCGTGAGCAACGACTAAGTAGATTCGAGTCTCGACAAGCCCAGTCGATAGCATTCATTGCACAGCTCGACAGAAGAATTAAAACGGTCGGCGATAAATTCGCGCGAACAAAGCCGCGAGAGTCCGAATCCCGCTCTCGGAGGAGATTACTCGACGCAGCCGCCGGACATCATTAAGCGAGCGGGCCGCGACATTACGAGGCATAAACTCGCGGAACAGTCGCCGTGTTCAATTTGGGAGATCCCGTCCGACGGTTTTAACGCGACTCGAAGGGCCCGCCGCTCGAGCGTGGGGACGTGAAATTGCCCTTGCAAGAATAACCCTATGATAATTTCGCCGAGCCCGATGATTCACGGGCCGCAAGCTGAAAAGCGCGACGGCCGTTATCGAGCGCGCACGAAGAACGAGGCTGCCGTCTCGTAATAAGTCGTCCATCTCGCGCCGCGATAATTCCGCAGCTGCAACTCCGATAACCCCCGAAATTGATGAAATCGGCCGGCGGCGGCAGGGAGAGGAGAAGAAACACGAGGCATGCGGAACTGCAATTTCTACGAGGATTCCTCGGTGAACGATAAATTATCCGTCCGAGCACCTACTTTGCCTGGCGGTATCTATTCGCGCAGATAAAGCGTAAGGCAGCCAACGGCTGAACACGCCGGGATTAAGACGGAGGGACCATCGCGCCCTCCCCTCGCGGAGCGCGCCCGGGTGGATGCAGTCATGGCACGAACTGATAGCCACCGGGCTAGCACCATCTGCTGTTATTTGTTAAGAATAATAGTCTACACGAGACTATCGCTCTCCGGCGGCGCGCGCTATGGCCGCTTATTTCTGTATTCCTCGGCGTAATGGAATGGCGAATTAACGTCGCGCCCCTGTCAGTCCGCTTGACGAGCCGGCAAATTTCCGGCTCTTATAAGAGAACAAGGGCCGACAGAACGGCAGAGAAGGGAAGGAGAGCGCTCGCGCTCTCGCTCTCGTGTTCGCGGGGCTCTTTCGCGCGATCTCCCCCCGCCGCCCCCCCCCCACCTTTTTGCTTCCCGCAGCTCCATTTTGCCGTCGGCCCTTCTTCGAATCCGCGACCGCCGCGCCCCGCACGAGGATGCAATGAGGTTGATACGTTGATAGGGTAACACGCTTCGACTCGCGGATCACAGTTTATTGGATCCACAGAACCCCGGCTCATTGTTCCCCCCAGCTAATAGATCGTCTGCCACGAGGCGGAAGTTTCAAAACTGGATAATCAGCGCACCGGGTGGCGCGCGATAAACGCATCGGCGCGATCGCATTATGTCCGCGGCCGCGCTATTATTACGAACTTGCAAATTCGCGCGGACACGTTTACTTCGTACAAGTATACCAGCGCCGGTCCCGTCTTGCAGCTCTGAGCAAGATTACAGGCTTCATTATCGGCCAGATTTCCTCCTGTCAACGACGCGGACAAAGGAGGCTCGAGGCCGAAAATTGCTGTTCGACTCCCTCCCGAACTTCCCGAATTACCTATCCGTCGCTGTTAATACAACTATACACGTTTCGCCATTTTGTAGGTGATATCCGAATATTGCCGAACACGTCTACAAACGAAGCCCTTCACGCACATCGTGATGGACATGTATCAGGAGGTCCTGGGGTCGCCGCAGTACGCCGCGCGAACACGGGCGGTCTACTACCAGTTGAACAGCCTGTGCCCCGCGCGGAGTATCATCGACCAGTCCAACCAGCAAAAGATCTACGCCCACAATTATCATCACCACCACCATCATCACCACCGTCGTCGTCATCGGCGACAACAGGACCAGGCCCAGGCGGCGAACAGTCAGCAGCCGTCGTCTTTCGCGCATCATCAGGCTCGCGCGGCGCAACATTCGTCGACTGTCCAATCAGCGCGCAATCAGCAAGCTCCCGACCCCGCTCAGCACCCGGTCAACCAGTTTCGCGCGCTCCAACATCCACAGGAGCAGCAGCAGCAGCGGCAACAATCGCCGCCGCCGCCGCCGCCGCCGCCACCGCCCCCGCCCAAGAGCCACCGTCACCATCATCACGCCAAGGAAACGTACTTCCGCACGCAGTCGCGCAACTCGCAGTCGCAGCCGAACCTGACGAACCTATGCGGACCTGTGCAATCGCAGCAACCGCAGCAGCAACAGCATCAGGGAGCGACGCTAAGCGCGTGCCGGGTGCAGTTCCAGTCGCAACTGGACATCCAGAACGGCAGCCGATCGATAGGACCGGCGGCGAGCCACCATCAACGCAGACACCATCATTCCAGGACATACTCGCAACCGGTCTACACGCGACTCCAGCACACCAGGAGCAGCGGCAATCTACCAGCGACGACGAACGCGCCCGACGCCGGTAATCCCGCCGGGGATGTTTACAACGACCCGATATATGCCCTGCCGGTTAAGCCCTTCCTCAGCTCCCAGGATGTGCGAGTCAATGGACTGTCGCCGAAGGCGACCGCGGCGACTCGCCGCGCCGACGATGTTTACAGCAGCGGATCATCGTCGATAACCAGGTGCCCGCACGCTTATACGTAGCCTGTATACAGGGTGTGTCTGAACTCTAGCGACAAAGTCCCTTGCGGATTCTCTATGTTGAGGAATAAGTAAAAAGCTCACGAAACACGCGCGCGCGAAAGCCTGAGATATTGCCTTCGGAAGATGACGCGACAATGAAAGGAATCATCGTGTCGCGATAAGCGTCTGAGGATGTATTCACCAAGCCTCTTTTACCAAGCTTCTTTTGTGTAGAATCTATGAGCTGTGAACTTGTCGATATGGAGTTCAGATCCATCCTGTATGCTCTTGTTCCAGGAGAGTAAACCGATTTGCGATCGCGTGAAACAACTCGTCGTTATTTCAGCCCGTAATATTTCATCGTAATATTTCATCGTCAAATTATACGTTTCAAACGCACAACGTTAAAGCTCTTGGCTACTCGCCGTAACCATCTTGATTTATGACGAATTCGGAAACGAGAAAATGCACGCTCAGGGTGCGTTCGGGAGGATGCTATTAGCGCTAACAAACGTTAACAAAACTATTCGCGGAGCGAGGTTCGCAAACAGCAACAGCGTTATCGCGTTATATATGTGACGTCGTTTCCGCAGCTCGAACCTCTTCAGTTTTGATATTTCGAGGACTCGTTCAAACGTGATAGTCCACGTTTCCCGAATGCGAAAGATTTACGTCTCATCTCATCCCGCGATGTGTTCTTCGCGCGCGAAGGTACTAAAAACCCGCTCGAAACAGGCGTCCTTCGAACACCGGCTGCTCCCAGCCCGACGTGGCGTCGCAGACGAACGAGCGCCTTCGCGAGGACATTTACGGACGAGCGCCTTCGGGGAGGATGTGCCTGCAGAGGCAACACTCGAACCCTCAGTTGCCGAGCAGAACGCAAACTGACGAGGACTTCAAGCGGCTGTCGCAGCCGAGTGTCGCGACGGCCGAGCCTCGGTGCGCCGACGTCGTCGCGCGGAAGGAAGAACAGACGGCACGGCAACAAAATCCAGTGTCTTCCATGAGGCTCCGGGGAATCCAAGGACCCCCGAAGCCGCCCCGAATTATCACCACCCTGAGAAAAGCCGCTCTCTCCGACTCGGAGTGCAACAGCCAGACGGAACCGCCGGCGAAGCCTCCCAGGTAGCCAGCCCAGCCCTTTCCCCTTCCCCTTCCCCTTCTCGTCGCACTACGGTATTTGCGTAGCCAATTATTCGCGTCGATTCACCGCGGTCCATTAAACCGCGATGGAGGAGAACGGGAGGAAAAACGAAGCGCGCGCGCGCGCGCGCGCGCGCCTGTCGGGATCTTTAAGTAACGAATTGCACCCGTTACTCATTACGAGAGGAGAGCGCACGCGTTTCCGATGCAATTCGTTCCGAGCAGCCGTGAGCTCGCCGTCCGAGAGCCGTCGGAATAAAAATTTAATCAATAATCAATTTCTTTAGGAGCGCCAAGAGAAAAGAGTTCTCCGTGCAACTTGCAATTTTAATTAATCTGTCTTTTGCATTAGTATGGTACGTATCTATTACAAGAGAGAAGAAAGGCAAAGAGAGAGAGAGAGAGAGGGAGAGAGAGAGAAAGGGAGAGAGAGGGAGAAAGAAAAAAGGAAGCCAAACAGGAGTGGACTCTTTGTGAGAGAGGAGCTATCGAGATTGATTGGAGCGACGTCGATACACCGCGATCTGATGCGAGCGAAACGCGAGCGGCGGATCCGCAACTTCGTACAAGATAATGTAACGGGCCACGTGACGAGGGATCCGGAAATTTAGACTCGCGCCCTCGAGATTCGCGCTTCCACGGCCGGAATTTCATCAATCTCGCAACGGGGGCGGGTATTAAATTAGGGCGTTGGAGGCGTTAAACAGTTCCAGGATCTTCGCGTGAGCTCGCGCGACCCGCATTATTAAGTTTTGCCTCCCAGTCATACGTCCGTGTTAATGAACGCGCTCTCGGGCGATCTCCGGGTACGCTCTCGCAAAGAGCCGCGAGACCTTCCCTGACACAACCGTAACGTGCTTTCGAAGGATACGCCCGACGAATAACCGGCTGGATGATGCCGCCAGCTGCAGACTAATGCGTGTCAGTCGACTGCCGCTGGAAAGGTTGAAACGTGGCGAGCTCCGATGAACCTTTGACCTTCGCGAGAGCTACAGAAAGAGAGGAGCCGGGAGGGGAAGAGAGAGGGAGAGAGAGAGAGAGAGAAAAAGAGCCCTATATTACAATGACATTTAGTCGAACAGGAATAGAACACAAGCGCGCGCGTATGCAGTTAAGCGGCAAATTGATGCACAATGTGTTGCACACCAGGAATGAAACCGGTATCGATGGTTAAATTAAAAATTACGCCCGCGCGCTTCATCGTGAAATATTTTCATCGTAACGAAATTTAACGTCGCGGCGTTGCAATTGCAGACACAACGCAACACGTTGCTCGCCGCGGTGAGCATTAAGAGCCCGGCCGAAATTTTTGAGCTTTTTCGACGTGCGGAATTTCGGCGGAAAAAAAGTCTGTTCTCCGGTTCACAAATCTCGAGTTATTTTATCGAAAATATTTAACCGATCCTGAATAGCGTGTAAAATACGCTACTGTTTACCGCTGTGAGCGGCAAAAGAGCCGCTTGAAATTTCTGTGCAATTTTCTGATCGATTGTTTTTTGCAGAAAACACTCGCTTCTACTTGAATCTAGAATGAGTCCACGGTAAATATTTAATTAATTTCAAGTGACATACGATAAAATATTTTTAACGCAGCGACGATATTAATTAATTTAAGCGCATTATTCTGTAATGTTTTAATTAACACGGTACACTTTTACCCAACCCGTTCTCCCTCTCGGAAATTCGAGCAAGTGCGAGTGCACTCTCGAGCACCCCTTTCTCTCACCGCGCTCATAGATCTTTGTCTTTTTCTCTTTCTCTTTCTCCCACCCGTAGGCGTTATAACCTGAATTCGTCGCAGAAATTGATTCGGTCGAAGAAGAGAATTCACAATCTCTCATTCTGAACCGTTCTTTCCGTGTCGAGTCTAAACGCGAACGAGAAGACGATGGAGAAGAGTACAGTGGATTAGAAAAAAAAAGAAGATACTTAGTGATGACTGCCTTAAAAGAGCATCCGAGGTCTAGCCTAGTTAGAGTTTAATTAAACTCAGTGTAAGAGTTCGTTAACGTCGCTGCATAACGAACGTGATGTCTACGAAATTTTGCCATAAGCTTTCCGGTCCGCTGCATAATTGGGCGCATCGTGGCTTGTTATGCCAAATGAAAAGTTCGCTCGGCTCGATTCATATTAATCAGGCAGCCGCAGACGTGAGGAAAAACGCGAGAAATCACGAATCCGTGCTCTTCAACGGGACAGGTTTATATCAGCATTTATATTGCGCCCGCTTCATGATAGATTCTCGCGCTTTCTTCTGACGAACGATTTGCACACAGCGATCATCTGTGTCTGGCACGATAATTAGAAAGATCGGACGAATATTTTCAGAATCATAGTGCGAAACGGACCAAGAGCTCGACGGGGAAAAGCAGTGCAAAGGGCACCGTCGCGGCTTTACCGTACACTGGGTGGGCCTATGAGGTGTTTCAACAAGGCGCAATGCGTGGGCCCTGAATTTGTGGTTCGCGCTAACCAGCCTCCAAAAACATTGTGTGTGGGTCAAGTCAAGGTAAGAGAATTGGAGCAAATGAGTGATAAGACGGCACATAGATTATTTGAAACGCTGATGTTAAACATGTGCTCGATGTGCTTTTGATGTTTATTTGATTTTAGTCTTTGTTCTGCGCCTTTAATTTTTCATTTTGGGAGTTTTATCCAAAAAATTTTGGGAGAAAACACGAGCACAAAACGAACTGAATAATTGTAACTAACGTTTTGCTTTCAACGATACTAAAAAATGTGAAAAAAAAAAAGACTTTCCGGTACCGGGAATCGAACCCGAGCCTCCTGGGTGAGAGCCAGGTATCCTAGCCACTAGACCATACCGGATTGGTATGGTCTGTCCTGTGGATATACGAATCTTCTGTCTCTCTAGTATATTTATGTTCAATTGTATAGATTTCTATAAAAATCTATATACAATAATTTAAAAAATCTATATATATATATAAATGCTAATAAGTGCGAACGCAGAATGTAGGTTGCGAGATTTCTTGTTAGATATTCGTAAAACTATCAATTTAATTGAGAATATCAATTCAATATCAATTTAATTGAGAACATATTTGCGTAACAGATAAAAAAAAGATTTTTCTTATAAAAAATAACTCCTTTTCCTCTAAAATACTTTGCATTGAGAAATAAAAACATAGTTTAAATTTAAAGAGAATGTGGATTTTCTTAATAATTTCTATCTTCCTATTCCACGCAAGTTGAAAAGACTTTATTCTATGTATATTTCTATGTTCTCCTTTGAAACAATTGCCAGAATTTTACAACCAAAACGTTTAAACAAATTCTAAATATTCAGATTGGAAAATATTTAATAATTAAAAGTTTCTCAACTCGAATTGTGCAAAAACCTATGAAAACGAAATATCTGCAAAACCTACATCTATGGAAAAAAAAATATTTGCGAAATCACTAAATGCAAAATAGAATTCCGGTACCGGGAATCGAACCCGAGCCTCCTGGGTGAGAGCCAGGTATCCTAGCCACTAGACCATACCGGATGACGGTATGGTCAACTGAATAATAAATACACAAGGGAAGGAAAAGATTTATCTTTCTAAAAGAGTAAAAAATTTTAATTATATATAATATAATATTGTATAGTATAGTATAATATTGAGATTAATATTTCTTTTATAATAATACCCATGTTACTGATCAACAATTAAATGTTGTAAAAACAACACATCTATTATATTAAGATAATAGAAAAAATAAAAAATATTCAATATAAGATGTACAAATAATCCACAATTCTAAGTGATTTATGAATATTTCCTTTTGTATTCGGTTTCTTTACATGTTGTAGTTTAGGACACCAAAAATATCTTTCACCAAGAATTATATAAATATTAAAAATTTATAAATAATTTCATTAAATATATTAGGTGAAGTTATTTTTATATAAAATTTATATTTGAAATGTGTATTAAAAAAAAATTCTCGAATCAAAAGATTTCCGGTACCGGGAATCGAACCCGAGCCTCCTGGGTGAAAGCCAGGTATCCTAGCCACTAGACCATACCGGATTGAAGATCAACTGGCTAAAGATACTATATCGAGCAACAGTCAGTAACTTAAACATTTTTAACTTTAAAATATGAAAAATATAATTAAATATATAAAAACTATATTGTAATATTGAATTACATTATATATATTTTAACTTATTATCATAATTGCATTTTTTCTGTACATAAGATAGAAAACTTTCATGAATAAATTTTTTTTAATTTCTAATCATTTCTATCTCGTCGGTAGTCTTATCATACGACTTGTAAAAAAAATTTAAACATTTTCAGTTTCACCAAGTGTAGGCAACAAAAATAAATTTCCGGTACCGGGAATCGAACCCGAGCCCCCTGGGTGAAAGCCAGATATCCTAACCACTAGACCATACCGGATCACGGTATGGTTCTGTTTTAAGACCAAACTTGACGGTACGGTCGAGAAAATCAATATTAAAAAGAAAATTCTTTTTCCCCTTCGTGTTCTAAAAATCAAATTCGAGCTTGAACGAAAATAAAAAATCCTAGCTACTAGACTGTATATTGGGTCTTTTTATCCTTACTATATACGAATTTTTACATATCAATTAATATACAATATGATTATTTAAAAATATATATATATTTTAATTGTATATATATATATATATATATATTTATTTTTTACGTATATATTGTTAAAAAAATATATATATTTATAAATTGCGGAATTAATCCCTTCTATAAAGTTTATTGTAATCAATAATTCCTCTTCTTGTAATGAGAATTATTATATTAAATTCAACTAAATAAATCATAGCGATTTTATTGCATATTAAAAAGAAAACAAAATTTTAAAATATATTACATAAAAGATATTTCTAATTTGTAAGTCGCACATGCGTGTGTTACATAAATATTAGAATAAAAAATAATATGAAGCTAATGAATTTAGGTAAATAATTCTGCATCAATAGAAAGTTTACACACAAGATGGTGTACGATAACGGGACATTAATACTCTCCTTCACTGCGTAGGCGAGCAACTCTGGCCGAATAGTCGTAATAATGCTGACGGGACAACGAGTGGAGGTAACCTGTGATCCTCAAAAGGTCACCGCTGGAGATTTATTCCAGGTAAAACGTTTCGCGCAACCAATATAAGACGCTTTCCAAGCATTCTTTTAATATTCCTACGATATTTTTTATCGACATTTATTTGAACATCAAACGCCATTGACATACGTGTAAAAACAAATATAGTTAATATATATGTATTAATGGAGTACCCAAAGGTGTTAATAGAAAAATTATTCAAATAAAAGATGTTCTCCAAAAACTTTATAGCCGTATCACGTGTGGCAACCACAAGAAAATTGATTGAAACTCAATCAAAACTGTGAGTTATCGAGGATACACTATAGAGAGTGGTCGTCACCGATAAGGGGTTCAATTTACCGACCAATTATAATCCGAGCGAACTAAAGTCACCGGGTCAAAACGTATCTTAGCGTGCAATCAATGACGATCTTGGAAATAACATAGGTGAACTATGTTGTAACAGATGTCGATGAAAGTCGAAGAATTAATGAAACAGTAAATAGATGCGATGAGAAGAATTGTGTTAAATCAACGTATAATGCATTTATCACCATTTCGCTTATAACGCGATTATAGTCTCATGGAATCATTCGTCGTGCAAATGGCATACGCCATTTAACAATAAGGCAACCGATAACCATCTTATCTTCGCGCGTTATTAAATTCGACACAACAAGCAATGTATTCAGATTAAATATATATTTGCTCTGAAACATTTGGAAGAAATATCGAGATATTTTAACGTAATTTATCAAAAGACATAAATGAAATTGATTAAAATAGCCAAGTAATTGATTTATTTTTGTCCTCAACCGCTTGGCAATTTTAATGAATTTATGCATCTTGTTGTGCATTATTGCGTAGGACTTTCCCATGTCCGTAGATTCCTATCCGCGAGAAAGAGGGGGGGAGAGAGAGAGAGAGAGAGAGAGAGAGAGAGAGAGAGAGGGAGAGAGAGAGATCGCTTGCAGGACACTAATAAATCGTATCATCTGGACGTGAAATATACTGCTTCTCAAGACCTTGGTGAAGGAATCGTTTGCCCTTACCCGTGCCACGTTCGCGAATGCTACTTGAACCCCGGCAAAAATCCAGAAAAAAAAAGTGGAAATATTTTATCCGCAAGTTCTCGAGCGGAACTGCTTCGATCGTAATGCTCCGCACACAGTGGCCCCTTGAACCCACAGCTGGATCGCGAAAGCCAAGACGCAGTCGGTTGTTTACGGGACCACAAATTCCGGCGTGAACTCGCGAGTACAGTTCTGGCAAGCCGCCAAGCCTAATCATTACATACGACAGAACCAATCCGCTAACTGCGAGTTATGTGATCCCGATGACAACGCGTGGACTCGCGGTGTGTATGTCGCGTCGCGCCTTTCTATTTTCTAATAAAAATAGCAAAAAAAGAATCAATCCGTTGCGAAATCTTACCAATACATGTCGGAAAAAGTCTCCCGTGCGAGCAATAAAACACGGCTAGAAACACAAACGGATAAGAGCGATTGCGATTACCGATTTTTTAGAACAGCAACTTGAACGACTCATTGTCCAAAAGTACCGACGCGATAATTGCAAAGCAGTACAAAGTTGACTTTGTGAAAACACTAACGACCGAGACCCTTAAAAGCGAACAGAAGCGCGCAAGACGCAAGTAGACGCTTTTGTTCGCAAAGATGCATAGTTGAACAGCAGGCAGAAGTAAAGCGAGAGGAATTTAATGCCGCTTAGATTCGGTAGCTTAACAGAACGCCGTTCCGACTCTCGCGGCGATGCACGCCACTTAATTCAAGCTTTCGAACGTGACTGGAGTATTTTGCCGCGTACTTTTTAATAGGCGACTCGCGATTTATAGGCCGCTCGAGACTCGAGAGAGTATCTACCGGGGTAACTTCCGAATTGGGTTACTCTCGCAAATTCGTGCCAATGGAAAATTAACACTGCAGTGCTGAAAACAGCTATCGCGCCGCGCTGCGATCAGCTTTCGAAGCAATCAAATGCAGCCGCGCTGTGTTCTCCCTCCCTCTTCTCCCCCCTCCCCCCCTCTCTCTCTCTCTCTCTCTCTCTCCCTCACTCTCTCTTTGCATTTAATTGCTCGTCTCGCGTAACTACTCCGCGCAGGAGAATGTAAGCTCCCGGTTTTTCCCTGCCGTCTAATCTATAGTACAAGCATCCGTCTTACGCTAGAGATCATTACGTCGTGTCGGCGAACTCTGACAACCACTCGACACGTTCATTCTTCGTACTGTGACACCGCGATCTGACCTATTGTTCGCAGCATTAACGCAGCGAGTCGCGATGTACACGACTCGACTCGCCTATACGCGAACTTAACCGTTTGTAATTTCAAGCAAACCCCGCAGCCTATATTACTTCACGCGTTATCCGCAAATCCTTTCAGGCCATTGTCCAGGCGGAGAGCCTCGACGAGAACTTCACTCTGGGCCTGGCCGTGCTGCTGGCCGGGGATTTCGCAATGCTGCCGCCCGACACGAAATTGAATAAGGTCGCGCCACCGGGATGGCTGAGCAGCGGCAAGAGCAAGGGTCTTTTGGGTTTACCGACCAGTTTCATGTTATACCTGCGGCTTCGATTCTTCCTGCCCTCTCTGCGCGGCATCAGGTTCGTTCTCAAACGAAAACCCCGGCGGCAGCAACAACACCAACGCGTCATCGCTCCATCGCAATTAACCGCTCGCATTGCTTTCAGGAGCTGGATATCGAAGCATCTGTTGTATCTACAAATACGGCGGTGTATCCTGGAGCAGCAGCTGGTATGTCCCTATCCCGAGCTGATCAATCTGACAGGACTCGCTCTTCAAGCCGAATTCGGGAATTACAATTTTGACGTAAGTCGACAACAGTCTCGCACGACTCTCTTCGTCCTCCGGTCACGAAATCGTCAATGCGACATGATTAAGTCTTGGCGCAGTCAGTAAAATCTCGATCGTGTCGGACTTAAGCGGCAACGAGAGAGACGGAGAAAGATATCGCCATCGCGGCGGATATCGCGATGGAAATATCTAGAATTCTCCGCGAGATTTCGATGTCCTCGTAACGCGGAATGTGATTAACTTCCACATGACAACGGAGAGATTTCGAATATTCTCGCGAATCTGTGAATTAATTTCGAATTGGAACAAAAGAGACTGGATCAGAGAGAGAGAGATAGAGAGAGTATTAGAGATGCGCAGCGTTGCCGCCGCTTTCTCGTACATCCGCGAGACACTCCAACCATCGACTTTTCGTTCACGCGGGCCGCCGGCGATATCATTTCCAAACTATAAATCAGCCGTTAAGCTGTGCCTAATTAGTAGTTGAAATGCACCCCGGGACGTTTAACGTAGACGATATCGGGCAGCCCGGTAGCGTCTGCGGACGAAGGCAGGGCGACGATAATTCCCCGGCCCGATCCGCGCGAACAATTGCTCTCCGCGTCATCGACGTAACGCCGCGTGTTTCAGGAACACGGCTGCGGGGATTACTTCCTGCTCGAGCACTACGTGCCGGAGTCCTTGATAATGAATGCGGACCGGCATCAATCGCAACCGTGCGTCGAGGCGGATGTCCTCCGGGCGCAGCTACACCGCGCTCACCACGACCGGCGCGGCTTGGACTCCAACAAAGCCGAGGAGATGTTCATAACTCACGCACAGTCTCTGCCGGATTACGGCTCGCACTACTACATCGCCACGGTGGACTCCAAGGAGCTGGAGAAGCTGATGGCGCAGCAAAGGAAGAGCAAGAGCAGCGGCGGCGGCGGCGGCGGCGGCATCGATAAACGTGCCGGAAGCGCGCCCTTGTCGCAAGACGGCGCCAAGGACGACGCTTATCGCGCGGAGAAGACGTCGGTACCGAGAGAAAGCAGAATAGGAATCCCGCGATTGGGCTCCCGCGAGAACGCCCCGATGATCCCCTACTCGGACACGGGCGACATTTACACCGGGCAAAAGAGCAGGTCGCATCGCGACGAGAGCCGCAACAATAGTCACAACCATGTGAATAACAACAACAGCAACAACAGCGTAAGCAGCAACAACAATAAGAACAGCAAGACCGGCAAGAAGAAGACAGAGAGCAATGTGTGGCTGGCGATACACGCTCAAGGCTTGAAGCTATTAGAAAGAGGGGGCGAGCCGAGGGAGAGGACGGAATTGGCCCAGTTTCAGTGGCGGGACGTGCAGACGTTGAGTTACAGCAAAAGCTGCCTAGTGGTGTATAGCAAACTGAACGGGAAGCGGTGCAAGTTCAAGCTGCGGATGGATCATCGAAAGTAAGTAGTTTCGCCCGGCCGCGGCCGCGGCCGTTCGAGAGAGATCGATCGCGGCTCGGCCGGAGCGAGGAAACGGTAGCGCGCGCGCGGTTGCATTGTGTGCGCCGTCAGCCCAGCCGCTCTCATAGTAACGACCTACATAAAGTATCTTTCTATTTTCCAGAAGTTACTTCGCTTTCAAGCTCACCTCCCTGCACCACCAGTTCTTCCTCAGACTTCGCTCGGAGCTTACGTCGCTTCAGGGCCTCGCGAAAGGTGGGTGGTCCCCTTCCAATTAAATTTGCCCTAACGCTCGTAAAATGTACCCTCGCGCGACGTAGCGTGAGCGCAGCAAAAGCTAAATTACGATACGGATTACTTTGTCCCCCGAGAGCGGTCTCGCCGGCGCGGCGGGAACGTCTTTCCGGGAACGTCGATATCGTGTGGGCAATATGTATGCGCGGGAAGAGATGATTCACGACGTCATTTTTCTCCCTTAGATTTTGGAGTGCCCCTGATAACGGAAACTAAAGCTTCACCGTCCAAGTCCAAGATCGGCGAGGGTAAGACGAAGATAGCGATCGCGAACACGATGATGGTGCAACAGAGGATAAACTACCCGATGCAATTGGAAGAGTATCAGAACAAGGAGAACGAGAATCCTCAGAAAGACACTAACGTACCCGCCGCGAAGGACGTCGGTCGTGACGCTGGCTTTTACTCGCCCGAAGAAGACGCGCTTTATGCGCAAGTAAACGTGCGGTTGGAACCGGAAGGCGAGTCGCGCGACACCGAGGAGGAATCGGATCGGGGCTTGACGACACCGGAGGAGATCCTGTTGGACTCTAAGAAAGAATGTAAATCGGAACACGGTAAACTTTACGGGTGTCCGGTGCTGGACAGCGAGGCTGAAACCGACTGCACGTACTCGCTCCCAAAGGCCATATCGAGCATTAATCAACTGGATAAACCTGAAGAACTGTACGCCGCCATTAATAAGGTTCGTCTGTCGGGAAAGAGCGAGTTTCCGGCTCCGGAGGAAGTTTGGAAAAGCTCGGATGGGAGGAAAACACTCAACAAGGTACAAAAACGTTCCCCCCCTCCCCCACCCCTCCTATCGTCTCATCGCTCCAAACACTCGAATCTGACGTCTCAAATTGTCAATTCTGGATTAATTCCAAAATATTGGGTCGGTGGGAAATTTGATTCGATCTTGGAGCCCAATCTAACCTGGTTGTCAACTCAATTGGAGCGAATTATTCATTAACTGAGCGATTGTCGTCGCGATCTTTGATCTCCGTCTCCAACGTTCCGATAGCAGGACACTATCGATATTGTATGTTAACATTGTTGTCTGTATCACATGTGTGTGTGTGTGTGTGACGCGATTGTTTGAGAATCAAACTGAACTTGTCGACTGCAACTCATTCAAACATTCTCATCGCGTCTCTCTATTTAACGATAGCTCGCGTTACCATTCCAGATGAAGACATCCAGTTTACCGAACTACGGCACACCGAAGCAGTCGGGTGGTTTCCGCACGCCCAGTTTACCACGTCGACTGGGTGTGAAAATGGGAACACGCGCGATCTACAGCAGTCTAGCGCAGAAAGACACCGCGCTTACCGACGACACGGAATCATTGTCCATGAAGTCCGACACCGAATCGTCCATTCAGTCATTATCGGCACGATCCGGCGAATCGCCCATGCCGGAAGCATACGTGCTGAGTAAGCAACAATAAAATATACGCTAGTAAATTTCTTATAAGCTCGGGCCAGGATGTTGTCATTGAAAAAGTGCAATTTTGCCTAGAACCACTCGTTTTCTCTTGACAGACGCCGATATACGGACCGATGATGAAACATTCCGAGTTCCCGAAGACGAATCAATGTCCGCGTCTCTAATGGCTCGTTTAGAGGAGCTGTCATTCGCCGAAGAACGAATCCTGCACACGATTAATTTAGAACGAGGTCACGGTGGCAGCATAGGCTTGCAAGTAACGGAAGGTAACGACGGCGGGGTTTACGTTCAAGCGGTCTCCGTCGGCGGATCGGCCGATATGGCCGGAAACGTTAACAAAGGTTCGTGTATAAAATTGTTATACTGTCTAAGAATGACGATTTTCCTGCTCGAAAAAATAATAATGATGAGAATGAACATAGACAAAGATGGACAACCACGCGTGATGAGGTAGCTGAGAATAAAATAGAGAAATGCAAATGGTTGAGGGAAAAAGGGTAAATAAGGGATAAATGAAAAAATTAATGCATCTCCGACCGATTTTCCTGCCAGGTGACCGAATTGTGGCGATAAACAAACAGAATCTACTAAATCTTCGCTACGAAGACGCTCTGAAGATGCTGCAGAGCTCCTCCGAAACGATCGAGCTGGTTCTGTCGCAAGCCGTTACCCGGAAGAGCGCGGAATCGAGGGACGGACAGGATCAAGGTCCTGCAGATGGCAATTATTTACAGTGAGTACCACCCCAGTGTGCTTTGCGAGAGTAATCGAATTAAAAATGTATCAACATGTATGAAGGTTTCCGCCGAGGTAACCCCCGTTGACCGCTTAATTTTGAGCAAATGAAGAATTCAGAAGACAGAATTTCACACATTTTACTCATTCAATCGTGCGAATAGTTGCTCAGTTCTGTAAGTTTATTCGACGGCATATCATGTCAACGTCGCGTCGTCTAGAAACACGATGTTGCAAAGTCGCATCCGCGCTTAACTAACGCGCCGCGCGCGTTTTTTTTTGGTCACAGTGATATCAGATTCGACGTGTCGTCGGAAGCGGAGACGTCCAGCATGACGAACAAGTGGATCGTGCAGAAAACCACGGACGTAGCGTCGGTGCAGAACACTTCGAGCGCGTACAGCAGTGCCGCGTCCAGCGCCATGGGCAATCATAATGCGAACAGCCTGTACATGACTGATCTCGTTGACAATAACGCGTTAAAATCTGCCAGTATGCTGCTAAGCCTAGAAGACTTCGACGTCAGTAGAACGAGCCGCCAGGTTTTCATTTAGGTATGTCGGACAATGTGAAGACCGCGGCCGACATGCGCTGCTCACGTGTCGAATATGTGCGCTCGCGCGTACGCGCAATTTTGTTTATGTAAAATTCGCGCTCGACCTATTACGTCTCGCCGGGCGTATGTATGCCGGGACGGAACGTCTGCGTCGAGGGAAATTCTATTTGCGAAAAGACTATTAGGCCGTACGCAGCCATGCCGAACAGACACGGCAACGTGTTCACCTCGGATAATCAAATTGTTGCAATCCGTTTAGCGAAGCCCTGCTCGCAGTTTGCCAAAGTGTACGCCGCCGTTCACCACTCTTAACATTTGCCCACTTGGCGGAGAATGTCAAACGACCTATCTCGTACCTCGTAAATAAAAGAGAAACTTTCGGTTTCACACTCGAGGGAAAAATGTCCAAACGATTTTGACGGAAAAAACGCGCATGTTCGTCCGTTTCTCACCAAGCTGAAATTCGGCTAATTATATATATATATATATATTAAATATAGCGTCTCGTCAATTCTTCACATCGTCACTACGACGAAAATGCATAATAAAATTTTCCCAGCGATGATATTCTAACTTTATATCTCATACCCCCGGTTCTCTCTCTCTCTCTGTCCTTTCTTAATGAAATCAAAGCTCGACAATGACGTATAAGCATTGTTATTGACCGCGCGTAGGAAGGGAAGGCTCGCCGTGTCATTTCTAAGGAATCACCTTTAGTATCTCTCGGACGGCCTAGCATCGTGGTTGCTCTCCCGGGCGTTTCCCGGGGCTGAATAATTCGCTCGTTAATCATATTAATATCATCGTTCCCGCAATATGCACAACCGTAAGAACCCGTAGAGAGAATTACAGTTAGTCGTTAAATACTTTACCGAAACTTTCCAAAGAAAATCGCTTGATATCGTTCGTTCTCCATATTTTAGCGAAACTAATCGACTTCTCTTCTAAAGTTCCGAATTTTCCCCCCTCTTTCTCTCTTTCTCTCTCTCTCTCTCTCTCTCCCCAGATAACAGAAACTCGACTGAACCACCCGTGCCACCGCGGCGTACGAAGCGCAAGATGAAAACTGCACCGATCACGACGTCGATAGCGAGCGACGCGACGGTGGTGAACGAGAGCACGAGCGACGCGGCGAGACCTCAGCAAAAACGTCCGTTGCCGCCGCCTCTGCCACCTCCACCGCAGAAATGTCGACGGAACAAATCTCGATCCGCCGAAACCTGCCAGCCGCAATGCGACACCGCGAGCTGTCCGACGGTCGAGAGTGTCGCGAATGAATATCGTCACCGCGACAGCCACACCGACATCGCGGCGGGTGTGATCGAAGCGAAGTCCCCGAGATCGCGCGACGCGACATCCACGACAGAGAACAGAGAGACAGAGACGGGCGGCGCGAGCGATGACCCAATTCCGGGATCAATCGCGACGTCGAAGGTGCCATTTCTAGCCATCGACGTCGCGTCCGAACCAAAGTCACCCAACAAATATCCATCGCTCTTTTTCACGAAACACGATTTCCAGAACGTGATGTCCGCCATGTGGACGAGTGAAAACACCTCGAACGCCAGCTTGTCCAGCGCGGAGCCGTGGCGCGAGCCGAGTTCACGCGAGAAAGGACCGTTAACAACGTGCATGCCGGATAACGGCAACAACAACGATCACGACGACGTCTGTTTCCGCGTGACGACGACAAATCTGCCGTTCGAGAAGTGCCTGGAAAGACGGAAGAGCCCTTTCGACGACGAGTTCGTGCTGAAACTCGAAGACTACCGATTCGAGGACAATATAGATGGAAACACTCGGATGAACGATGGAGGATCGTTCGGCCATGACATTTTTGATATCAATGAGAATTCAGACTGTCGTGTCGGCACGAAAGTACGATTCGTCATCGAATCGCCGAGTTCTTCTTCTCGAGTTTCCGAGTTCAACACCCAAGTAAAAATCGGCGTACCGTGCGAAAGTTCGCGAAGCAGCGAATCCATTTGGGACGAAGAGCAAGCTGACAAACGTGACGACGCCTCTTCCTTCAGGCTCTTCGAAATTCAAGACGAACGCGCGGACGTGAAGAATAAAAATAAACGCAAAAATAATTCGCAAGAAGAACCATGTACTCCGCCGAACCATATCGACGAGAATAATCGCTATATCGCCGCAGAGAAAGATGATCCTTTTACGTCGGCGAGCAAGGCGGACGCGATACTGAGAACGCGTTATGACGGTAAGGATAACGACGTTAATTGCGAGGAGGGAACTCGCAAAGGGGACTTTAATTCGACATCGCGGAGCGAACGAGTTGCCGAGGAGAATCGCAAAATCGGAGAGGAAAAAATAATGGCGCTAGTGGAGGAAGCCATTATGAGCGGAGGAAACGCTGAAAAGCAGGCGGATCAAAGTCAAATGCTGGATGCAACTTCCGAGATTGCCGAGAACACTTATCGTTTTACGGATAAAAGTTCAGGAACGGTCCGCGAAACTGACGAGGCAGACGCGGCGGAAATAACGTCAAAGAGAACAGACCGGGAAGAAGTATTTTTGAAAAAAGCACGCGATGACGTGAAAGAGAAACCCACTGCCAAGAATGAGAAGATTTTCATCAGTGAGTCACTTCGAAACGTTTTAAGCTGCCTCGACGACGACAATGTGAATCCGGATGATTCCGACGACGACGACGAACCCGACGAGAGATTGCACGTCGACGATCCCGCGAGAGAGTCACGCGGAGGAGTCTCGGCGGAGGAGTCTCGGCGATTATCGATCGAAGAGAACAAAGAAACAAGCGGCTCCTTGGCTTCCGAAAATAACCGCGAGCTAATCTCGCTGTCGGAAGAGGTTTTCGCAAAGAACGTCCCCGTCAAGGTTAGGCGCGATTCTTTCCTGGAGACCATGCTGCTCGACGATTCGATAGATTGCGCGATTATTGCTGCCGCGATACCGTCTCCGGTAGACGTGGACAAAAACGAAGCAAGCATTCCGAGTGAAATAGAACATAAAGCATGGAAATCGGACACGGAGATCGCGAGAGAAAGCGGACGCTCGGGCGGATTGAATAATGGCGCGACGAAAGTGCACGCGGAGAATGAAAACGTTTCAAGGGATTCCAGCGAGACGAAAGAAAAGATCGCTGTGGTCTCAACCGCTGACGTAAGGTCAACGCAATCGGAGAATAAAAGCGCCGGTGACGCGAAGAATGACGTGCTGAACGAGTTGCTCTGCAATTTTAGCAACATAAAATTGAAGTTAGTGAGCCCGGAGATGAAGAAAACGCAGGCGAACACGCAGGCAGGCGATGATGAAAGCATGACTTGTCCGATCGCAATCGATAACAGAACTGTCGAAGAAAGGGAGAAGGATGCGGCTCTTCGACCGCGAGCGCGAGAAAAATCCCGAGACCAAGTTCGCGGCGCGGCGAATCTCGCGAGCGCCAAGACGATCTCCACTGATGCGGATGATAACGCAACGATTGCCGGAGGAGGAGAAGGAGCTCCGGATATGAAGAGGAAAGTTGGATCTCAACATGTCAAAAGTGACAATCGTGATCCAGTGGTTGGCGAGGAAATCACGAGGTATAAAAATACCGAGACGGCGAAGCTCGAGCTCGAGACCGGCGACGTAAGGATCGCGAAAGAGACCTCCGCGGCGAAGACGAAGATCGCCGCGGAGGAGTCTGTAGATGTGAAATCATCAAACGAGAGCTGCGCAAACGCGAGTACCACCAACTCGGGTACACCCGAGGCTGCGGAGAGTGTCGGCGAGGTGAAACCACCGAGAGGATCGCGGGACACTCGCGCTCCCAAGACTATACTTAAGAAAACAAGCGTTCAGGGCGAGAGGCGGGCGAACGAATCTCAGAAGAGAATTCCCATCGGGGCGCCTACGACGATGAACAAAATTTTCGATAGCAGGGAACACGGGGCGATAACGTGCGCGCCGCGCAACAACAGCCAGGAGGACGGCAGGAAGCGCGAGGAAGCTTCGGGCGAGACGCTTCATGGTCTCGGCGACGAGAAGAAGACTGACGATGAAATAATCGCAGACGACATGGCCGAGATCGATCGCGGGATCGCGACTACTCGGCCGGTAGCGTTAGCGTTAGCGGATAGCGGCGATAAGTGTGCCATAGTTAGAAAGACTACTTCCGTAACCCCTTGTAATAATAATGACAATAACAGGGCCGCAACACCCGTAGCCGTAAGTAACGACCAATCGTCCCGCGACGTTGTAACAATAACCCCGGGTAAAGTTAGGAGCTTCGTTAAGTACTACGAGATTCGGGGCGACACGACCACCGAGGGACATTCTAAAACTAATGACAGCGAGGAGGAACTAGCTAAGCATAAATCCACCAAGAGTCCACAAGCATCGGCGCCGACCGTCGCTGCGAGGAGGTCGCAGCGGCCGGAAGTGACGACGAAGCGAAGGGAAGAGAGGGCGAGAGAGGGCGACGGTCTCTCGAAATCAAACGACCTTCTCGCAGCGTTGCACGGTGAAGCTCAACTTCTGACCTTCGCCTCGAGGCTTCCGAAAAGTCCTCACGACTCGCCGGCGCGGGCGGTCTGTAAGTCGGAAGTGACGCAGCAGGAGTACAGAGAGGACGACGTCTCGTGTGTGTCCGAGATACGTGCGCAACACACTAAAGCCAGCGCGAAAAAATCGGTGCAGTTCCTAGGCGGATTCACCGTGATCCAGTCGAAAAGTTTCGACGAGGACGAGTCCGCGGGGATCGTCGCGGGATGCAACGCGAGCTCGTCGAGAAAGAGAAGAGCACCCGGCATACCACCCGCGCCGTCGCGCGGAGACTCCGACGGTCGCCAGGGGCTTGTTGTTCGCGAAATCACCAAGTCGGAGGAATTGCCGAACGCCGAGAAGAGTTCCTTCCAGCGACGGGAGGCCGCTGCTCAGGTCGGTGGGAGGAAATTTTGCTTTTACGTAGCCCTCTCAATCGGGTTAACTTCGTTGCGAAGTCAGGGTCTCGTTGTGACATACCGGCGCAAGCGATGCTTGCGCGTTGATTACGTTTAGCTACGACGTGTACGTTTCACCTCGTAAATAGTCAGTCGTTATCAAAAAACTCTCATCAGTTAGAGAATTTTAACGGACACTGTGTGTGCTTTCCCGGGAAAATGCAAGTAAAGATATGGTTAAGGTAAAGTCTACCTGAGAGACGGAGCATCCGTTACCGCGTTATCTATCCACACAGAATGAACGTGCTGGTTTTCTCTCGTTTCAGGTACACGCAGGAGTAACCGGTCACGAGGAGAATTCAGGTATCAATCGCTTCGTTCCAAAACCAGAAACCCCACAGCTCGTATTTTACTGTACTGTATAATCTGTAGTCTTTGGAAACCGTCGTTGCTCCGAGTCTCGGAATCACCTTGTGTCGATGCGAAATCCCCCCTCTGTGAATGTGTCTTGATTTTCGCCACTAACCGAAGAATAGATTTTACGACGCTACGTAAAGCCTGCTAAGTGTAATTTACGCGCTTGTTAATGGCCACTGCGCATTATGTGAGCCTTTGCGTATATTGAAGCCAGGGATTTCTATTCTGAGGACAAAGTCCAACTTTACGTAAAAAAAAAAAAAAAAAAAAAAAAAAAAACACGTAAAACATTAGCCCGTGCGCCACTTTTCTTCATCTTTTATAATTTGCCATAAAACCAGGTTACGTCAATCCGGTTTTATGATTCTACCCCGGTTCTCACGCGACGAATAAATCAATAACGGCTTAAAATGCTCAGATTGTAAATTTCTTTTTTACAACACGCGCGCGGCCTGATATTCTATATGGGATGTAACTCCGATTGGAATATGAACTTTTAAGTAGAATCATCTCTTTTTTTCCCCACGGAAAATCAGCTTTGCTTCCGCTCGGCGCTATGAAATCATAAAACTTATCCGTTGAAATTATTCACTCAACTGCGTTTCGATAAACCAGGTAAACCAGAAGCCGCGCGCGGGATTTAGCCCCAATAAGCCGGTCGCGTGCACGAGAAAAAACGAGTGGATTTGCAATGACCAAATGTTCCGTGTGTGGTCCGAAGGGATTCGAGAATCGCGCGATGAATCGCCCGGCAAACAGATCATTCGCCAGGAGCTCGAGCACTTTAACTGCGAATGCGGTCTGGATATTTCCGACCGTGAACGCGAACTCGGTCGATTTATGAAAACACGATAATTTCTTTTCCGCCAGGCACGATTGTCCGCGGTCTGTAACTCGTAAAATACTTAAAAATACCTCAATTTCCAGTTTCCACGGCACGTTATACTCTTATTTTTCCATTTGGCTTTACGCACTGAAACTAGTTATTTCCAGGTACGCGGTAATACGCGCAACTGCAAGAGTTTTCGCTACATGAAATTACAATTGCGTCTGCAATCGTGCCCATACATACAAAATCGAAACGACGTCATGAGGAGAGACCGTTGAGAGAATATTTTCTCGTATCGAACGTACGTATCATGTGAGCTTTTGCATTGAATATTCATGATATTTCCTCAACCGAGTGACGGTGAAAACGGACTTGCTTGGTCTTGCACGAGCGGTATAAGCGTATTAAAGTGAGAATCGCGAGAGAGCACACGATGCCTTTTAGAGCCTTCAAAGTTGAGAACTACTGTGCGCGCGCGCACACAGAAAGAGCATGTGCGATCATCTCGGCGAGCTGGAAAAATTCGTCTTGCGTAGTATCTATTCTTCTCTTGGGAGCTCCGCGTATATCGTTAGTTTTATGCTCTGTGAATACTTTAGACGCGCATTTCCGAGAAGGACAGCTTTCAGCTCTGTTATTGTCGAGACCTTCCTTGCGACTCCTTGGGAGAGAGGCTGTTTTTCCCAATGATACGACAAAACTGCGGAAAATTACTCCGGTAAATAGTCCACGATTGTGTAGGTGGACAATTTACAAGTAGGCAGCTTTGCGGCGAAAAATGCACTTGTTGCGCCGTTTACGTTGCACGCACGTGTCTAGGTATGCTCGTTTAGGATTACTCGGGCCAGCCCGGCTCCGTGACTGGCCTCATCAGTCAGGGCCCAACACCTGATTTAGCACCTTTACAAATACGTAGCGCCGCAAAAAATATGTTTCGTTGGCAGCGGTCGGTGTCGCGCGACGACGGATTGTATAGTAGTTTGTTGTTTTTTTTAGTTCGAAAGACACACAGAGAGAGGCCTATATATATACATGTTATAATTTGTAGAGAACGAACTGAAGATTGAGAAGTAGCACGCGTTTTTAACAGCGAGATATAAGAATGTGCGATTGAACACGTTAACAGAATGCCATCTCGTCTCCATTGTGATCCCGATTGTTTGTCCGTTGGCCGTAGGTCCTTTGCCGAATAAACGCATATAGTCTCATAATACGAATGCGTATGTATGATACTCTTTTGTTGAGTCCGTCACAGCTTACGCACTAAGGGGCACGAGGTGCCACAACGGAAGTACTTTTTACGACGATGGAGCGTGCACACGTGATATAGCCCTTTCCTTTCCCCGGAGAAAACGTGCAATCGCGCGATAAACGAGACGTAACGCGCCTGTAATTACGTAACGGTACGACGTTCTGTTGACTTATTGTAAGTATTATGATTTATCGGAGCGAGAGCCTGTACCATTGTGTGCGAGCTGAAAGCGACGCGTCGCAATTAGGTACTAAAAATGCTTGTTACTCTTTAGTATCATTATGCGCATATATATGTATATGTATACCTGCTACGCGCATTATTACCATACACAATTATATGTACACAATAAGTGTAAGTATTATTACGCGGTAACGATTTCTGTAAAATGCTATGCGAGTAAACCTTCCTCTCCCTCCCCTGCCGTTGTAACGTGCGTACGTTTTGTAACGTCACCATAGATAGGTCTATCGAAGTGCAGATTTCGCGTAGATATATCATACGAGGATCTGATCGCGCGCGCGGCTTCCGCACGGAGAAAGCGGAGCGGTAAATTTCCCGAACGACGTTTTATCCATTTATCGTTTTTTCTTTCCACCGCAGCCACACCGCGAAAATCCCTTGACAATTACTTTAGTTTACATCGACAGCGCTCCCGCGAACGCGGATTTTACGATGGATCTTCTTTGTTAGAGACGATTCGTGACAGATTAAGAGCCGTTCGTGCGATGAGTCCGCTGTACATTCGCAGCAGTGTGTGTGTGTATGTGTGTGTGTGTGTGTGTGTGTGTGTGTGTGGGTGGGTGGGTGTGTGTCGGACGAAGGAAATTAGGAGACTCGTTTAGAGGTGACACATAGGAGAGAATAAAATACGACCGTGTTGACAAAAAGAGAATAACGCAGAACAATTTTATCGCTCTTCTTTCCCCATCCCTCCCCGCCCCCTAGTCCTCGATGCATTTTTCAGGCAGAGAGGACGTTCAATGCTGTTTTGTAATATCTAGGAGATAATTTGTAAGTGACTGGGAGCCGCGTCAGTCATGTCGAGCTTCACGCTCAACTCTACGCGACGGTGCAATTTGTTGTTGCGCGCTATGCAATTCCCGTTTATGTTCACCCGGATAGATACGACTCCCGACGGTACACTGTACGTTTATATTCCCGCTAAATGCCGAATAAATTATTATTTTTCATGCTGTATAACAATCTCCCTCTGTATCTCTCTCTTTTTCTCTTTTCCACTCATCCGGCCCTTTGCTCGCGATATCAAGAATGCGCTTTGCGATTTCCACTATCTTTCCAGACTGCAACGTTTCAGCTTGTTTCCGCCATTAAGAGTGTATGTGCACTTCGTTTAAATGTATTCCCGCGCCGGATAAAATGCCGGATTAAAATCACGAGCGCGTGCAAGCGCGTAATTATAGAAACACATTTTCATCCCTTTCGCGGAATCTGCACTCGGACAGAAGTGTGCTTTTCAACGCGGCATAACCGCCACGTATGACTAACGCGATGCTATTTGGCAATTACGCACCCCTTGACTCATTTCTCGCGAGTTACGTAAGCGCGTCGCCTAGCGGCGGCGCGGCCGCTCGCGGTTAATCGGCTAACGACACTCCATGAACTTTATCGCGACGCAAATATATATATATATATATATATACATAGAGAGAGAGAGAGAGAGAGAGAGAGAGAGAGAGCAGGGCGATTTCTCCTCCGCTCCTCTTTCTCTCTTTCCCTCTCTCTCTCTTTCTCTCTCTCTAATAATAGCAGTTGGCGATTTCTTCTCGGCATCGAGATAAGGCGACACGATCGTCCCCGCGTGATCCGCAATTACAAGCCGGATTTGGAGCGCGCGCGGATCGGCCTATCGATCGACGCGTAAATTCCGCGACAGCATATATGGCGGCACTTCCTTATCCGAATTTAGTGCGCGACGAGGCGTCACGAGAACTCTCTACGAGATATCGGGGACACGTTGGGTAAAAATAAAGAGAGCCCGTAACGAGCGACGACCCCGTCCGCGAGATCCAGCTCAGCGCGGTCGCCGGAGGCGCGGATCGGCTCGATCGCACGAAAGGGCACCGGTTAATTTTTTATTCATGACGCCTGACATTGCACCGCTCGCGCGTCACATTTTTCCGTCGCCGAGATATTCCTCGACTCGACAACGCGGCCAGCTCGCTTCACCGAGTCACGCAGGTATTCGGTTGTGCGCTTCGGGGTGTGTGCGTCGAATTAAACGTCCCCGGCTGCCTTAAAAATATGAAATGCAGCTCGCGGATCCTAGAGAGTACGAGTTTCTCTCCCGAAGAGCATTATGCGAGTCCGCAGGTACTATGCTAATCCGACAGTCCCGCTAGAACTCAACGAGACGCTCACGTAGCGCGTAGACGTAGCGCGGCGACGTGCGACGCGGCGACAGGCATACGCGCTGTGCGAGAGGCAAATTGTTATTTAACATTTTCCAACATTTTTTCTCGGGCGTGACTGTCATAACGATTCCACTGGCATCGCGATATTTGCGGCCGTATGTTTCCCGGTAACAACGCTTGCCTGCACGCTTCGGCATTCGAGATCGATGCCCATGGAAAAAAAGGACGCGAAGAATGGCCTCAAAACTAGACAAACTGTAGAACGTTCTCGCGGGTTCGGGTACGCGTCTACACGCGTCTACACGCGTCTACACGCGTGTGCGCCGGTCGAGTCTGCCCACGATCGATCGTAAACAAATTTCTGCCGGGGCATTGATCCATCCTTGAGACGCATCGATCGCAGCTGCCGGTCGACGGGAGTTTCGCAGCGCAGAGCATGCATACACGATTCGCCAGGACCATTAGCGCTTCTTTCATACGAAAATTTCGTCGACGAGCTTGAAACCAGTCCGAGCGACAAGCCACTGCGTGCGTCAATTCATGCAAGGAACAAATTCTCTTTTGCTCAGCAAACTTCTCTCTTGCCTGTTCGCGTCATAGAGATCGCTGTATTGAGAGACGAGCATTCTCGTATAATACAGAACGGTAATAATTATAATAGACATTTGATAATGGGACACTTTTTATCAGTTATTGGTCCGTCGATCGATCTTTCGGTTCTTGTGCAAAATCAAATTTATTTCGCGTTGATGAAAAAGCATAGAAATAAAAAAGAAACGACTTCGGGACACCCTGTGCACGTATTACTCACTGTGTAACGTCACGATTATTAAAAATAGATTTCAAACTCAAGTTCACACACACACACACACACACACACACACACACGCACGCACACACACATGATACGCATCTTCTAAAACTGTGAATTTAAAATTAGTCTTACGCCTACGCCTTTAAAAGCGCTTGTTTGCAACTTCACTCGTCGGATCGTGAGAGCAAGCCGATACTAAAAATATTGGATCTAGTCAACCCAATCGAAAAATGAAAAACATAAATTGCCTTCATCATGAGATACGCTCCGCCAATTTGCGGCACGACGACATTTCTCACGGAATAATAAGAAACTCAGACGTTATCATTACGCGAGACTATTAAAGCCGGTCGTAAAATTATCTTCAAGATGAAACGTACTTGAATACCGGACGAAGAGAGAGAGAGAGAGAAAAAGAACTTTGGAGAGAGGCTTTTTAATCTACTAAAGAAAATTACCTATCTCTCTCCCTGAGAAGATTCTTCGCAAAGTTTCGACATTTCTCATAACGTTCTCTTCTCTCGATAACCTCCATCTAACTGTCCCGTCGTATACCGCGCGCTTCAGCTTTACGATCCACTATTTCGCATAATGCGGATTGCATAACGGTCCGCATGATCGACGTCCGTAATCCCGACGTGGACTGAACAGTATACGCTATTTCGTCTAGAATCGCCCACGCAGCACGCACCTGTGTACATTCGCGCGCGCGCGGGCAACGAAAACAACACACGCGGGCGCGTCCGCTGATATTCGTGACACGTCCCACGTGCCGGAATTCCTGCACCCTACCCGATGGATCCCGCGGGATTTATTTTCGGATCGGTATGACGCCATCGCGCGTTTACAGTAGTGCCGCGCCGCACAGCTACGAATTCGCTTGTCTCTCACACGATTCCTCAGTGAGACGCGCGGCTAGCACCCGCACACGCGCCACGCAACGATCGATCGATACGCATCAGTTGACCGATCGATCGATCGATCGATCGATCGGCCGACCGACCGACTCCACTTCGAACGCGCCGCGAGCGACGACCGCGAAACCGCGAGCGCGAGCGAACGAACGAACGAACGTGCGTGAAACGCGCCTACCGAAGATCGACGAAGTATTTCTCACGCCTGAATCTGCTGTGCTGCAGCGCAAGTTCCGCGAAAAAGTGCGCCTACACGTATTTATAACTCCGTAGAAGCGGAAAATTGGATCTGCGACTCCCACACGGAGATTCGCAGCGTGTCAATCTAGGTGTGTGTGTGTGTGTGTGTGTGTGTGTGTGTAATCGAGGTGACAGACCGACGGCGACGTTTCGTCGATCGCGATCACAAGTCGTTCCGCAGCTCGCGGTACGTCTCAGCACCTCGTTATTAAATACCAGTGGAAACTTGTGTGGGGCCGCTATAAAAATAGACGAAACAGGAGGAAATTTCGCCGAGGCTCGAGCTCGGGAGTCGAGCGCTTTCGTTGCACGCGCATATGCATCTCCAGCGCATGTGAGACGTATACCTCATAACGTCGCCCGTCGCCAGCGATAGAGACGCGCGTAAATACAGCGCACACGTGCGGTATCATTTCGCAAGTAGCCGGCCTCTCGCAGTTCGCTCCGGCAAATTACGTACGGCGTGCTGGAACGCGCGCAAGATGGATCTCCCGCGAATTCGCCCGCAACGTGAGACGTGACGCGAGACCGCTCCGCGTGCACATCCTCCTCGCGCCTCAGTGTCGCCGCCGCCGTGTCCACGAAGCAAAGAAGCGAGAGAGAGGGGGAGGGAGAGAGGGAGAGAGAGAGAGACAGAGAGAGAGACAGAGAGAGAGAGAGAGAGAGAGAGAGAGAGAGAGAGAGAAAGAGAGAGAGAGAGAGAGAGACCCGAGCCCGAGAGTCTCCGTCGCACGCGAATTCTGACAGACTGCCAAGCCCGCGAGGTCGCGTTACATAAGCGCGATGTAACGCGCGCGAACTTGGACCGCGAGCGTGAACACTTTGCAGTCCCGCGGTCTCGCGATCGTGCTCGTTGTCGGCACGATCATGTGACCGAAACAGCAGGCGAGTGCGATTCGAACGCAGCGACGGAGAGCGCGTACTGTCCGTGGTATGCTATTCAGCGGTCGGCCGGGAAACGGTACCCGCTGCAGTTTTGAATCGCCGTTTATCGAGCCAACGGTCGAACGAACGCGACGGCGACTCTCGATCATGCGACCGTTCGTTCCGCTTGCGTCTGGCAGATCGGGAATCGCTTCACGAGCGGCGCGACCGCGCCAAGTATTCCTCTCGCGACCGCGCTGTGACTTGGTGCGCGGACTGTGAAATTGGACAGCTTGTTAATTTATCGACGCGTACGCACGTTGGATCGTATTTCGTTGGAGAGAGGGAGAGAGAAAGAGTGTGTGTGTGTGTGTATGTGCGCGTAAGATCTCCGTCGTGCGAAAAATCGTCCAGTCGGGGGAATAAGGATTCGTGGGGCGAACGGCCGCGAAGACGTGAGCGAGAGCGAGCGGGGACGCTTCGGCGAAACGAGTCAACGGTCTCCACCGCGGGACCCATAAAATTCAGCGAGGCAAGGCCCGTTAAGAAGTCCAGACGACGAACCCGCTCGGGACGTAGAATTAATCGGGACGATCGGCCGAGTGGTTTTTCCCGTGCAGATTGCACGGGCGATCGAGAACGAGAGAGAGAAAGAGAGAGAGAGAGGGGCATACAGAGCGAGCGAGCGAGAGGCAGAGGGAGAGGAAGAGAGAGAGAGAGAGAGAGAGAGAGAGAGAGAGAGAGAGAGAGAGAGAGAGAGAAGACGAAGCGAGAGAGAAAGAGCAAGAGAACCGGGACCATGAAGAACGCCCATCCGATCATCAGCGCGACGGCTTCCAGTCCGGTCGGTCCGGATTCCACGGGCCTCGGCGAGCCGGCGGAGCCGATCATCCGGTTGAAGCTGCAGAAACCGCTGCACTGGGAGTGGGAGCTGACGACGTCCGCCGACGCGCTTCCCGTCATCCAGCTGTTGGACAAGGACGGCCGACTGCTGGTAGAAACGACCGGCAAAACCGCGCAGCGGGCCAGAGGCTCCTTCAAGGAAGGCCTGAGGAGCCACGAGCAATTCCTCGCCGACGATTCCACCAGCTCCAAGACGGAACATCCGTCGACGTTGCAGTCGTCATCGACGACGTCGCCGTCCGTCTCGTACGCTGCGGCGACGCCGTCTCAGGGTAACCGCAATATCGACGGCTTCAGCAACAAATTCGGCACGTGCATTTTTGCACCGAAAAAATCCAAGAGCGACGTGAGCATCAAGGAGAGACGACGCGTCAAGAAGAGACACTCGCCCGTAGCGGAAAACTCGACGATGAAGACGAGCATCGAGGGAAATGTCGAGGGAACCGCGACGGGACTCAAAAGATACTCCGCAGGGGATTACCTGCGGCAGCAGATCATGGACGACCTACGTACGCGAAGTACGATCGGCAAAAGCCCAGAAGAGATCGCCAAGGACAGGTGCAGGAAGGTCAAAGCGTATCTGAGGAGTCAGAGCGAGAGCCTGGTGCTGAGCTTGGTACGCGAAGAGGAATGCGACGGAGACGAGGCAACGGACGCGAAGACCAGACCGCTCAAGAAGAGCACCGCGAGTCGAGCATTGACAAAGAACGACTCATTGACGGAGAGACAAGCGAACCTCGAGCGGAAGGAAACGAAGGAACGTAGCGAAAGAGCAAAGCCGTACCAACGCAGTCAGAGCGCCCTGATTCCGAGCTGCGAGGACTCGACGGAGGCGGACAAGCTGGACGAAGGGGACAAGCTCGTCCGCGGGTTAAAGGACGACATGAACGAGGAGGAGCTGGCGAAGATCAGGGCGTTCCTACGCGAGAAGATACAGCGGCGAATGAATATGGAACAGGCGCGCTCGAGCTCGGCCGTTCGCGTCGGCGTTCCGGAAGCTGTCGGGAACGCCGGTATCAGGAAGAGATACTCGGACTACAGTCACGGGAACGATCGCAGGAACTACAGGACGCGAAAGGTGCGCAGCGAGACGAGCATCATTCGATTCGACCCCGAAGTACTCGAGAGGGAGCGGCTAAAGTCCAACAAGCAGTTCGATAAAGAGAAGCCGCGGAACGGCGGAGGACCTCCGGGAGATCCGCCGCCGCCGCCGCTTCAGAGACAGTTGCGGAACTATCGGCGATCGGGCAGCGACGTCTTGGTCGAAAGCGTGGAGCCGGACGATCGATCGAAATCACAGTTGAAAAGAGAGTCGTCGAGCCTGGAGAGGAGGAAGCTCTATCGAAAAACCAAGAGCGACGTCTTACTCGGACAAGCGGCGGCCAATGCAGAGTCCAGCTGGGACTTTGGGAATCCTCCGAGACGGATCAAGAGCCAAGAGAACGTGGAGAGATCTTGGAGGGAGTACAAAGAGAGGAAGAGGAGCGAGAGACTTCGCAAGGAGTCGGAGAGAGAAGTGCCCGAGGACGACTTTATGAGTAAGCCGAGGTGGAAGGACTTGCAGCGCGATCTTTGTTCCTCGCGAAACTGCAAGGTGTGCCAAAACTTGAGAAACTGCGTGAATCCGCTTCACGAGAGGCCTCGTCGAGCTCGGCGCGAGGACGAGATCGAACTCCCGTGGAAAGAAACCGCCACCGCCACCGCCACCGCCACCGCCACCGCCACCGCCATCGGCAAACTTTCCGATGAGACCTGGTCGACGAGCGGCAGCAGACCTGGCACCAGCTTGCAAGAGAACTACTTGCTCGTCGACGAGGACAAGTGCCGTTCGCCGCCGATCATCGCCAAGATCCAAGTGAGAGATCGAAGTGGCAACGACGTCGCCAGCGTCGCCGCGATGAGCGTCAATTCACCGGACTTCGGCTACAACTCGATCCCGAAGAGCGCCTTCAAGGATTATCGGGAACTGTACGCTCGCTCCAACGTGAAGAAGAGCGACACCTTCAAGATCATCGACGGAAGCGAGGGCCTGGAAGAACACGCCGAGCATTCCGACTCGAAGATAAATGGCAACGTTTCCGACAGCGATCTCGGTTATCTGAACAGCGGGGGCTCGCTGGCCAACAAATCGAACGAGGACATCACCAGGGATTACTTCAAGAGAGTTTACGAACTGCTCAAGAGGAGGCAAGAGGAGGCGCGAAAATCGGTGGACGGAGACCGCGAGTTTCCGGGCCACGATGACTCTTCGTCCTCGAATTACGTCGAGGAGATGCAGAGGAAGAGGCATCGGCGCCGGAGGAAGGATAAAAGCCCGCAAGGTAAGATATATCGTCGATGAAACTCTAACGATGTAATCGCAATCTCGCGGAATAATTCACGTCATCAGTCAAGGGATTATTATGCCGTGTATAGCAATTAATTGTAATTGCTATTGCCTCAATTATTGCGATTGTCGATTAACACCTGATATTGAAATAATCATGTCATTAGTATTGAAATAATTATACATCACTGATAGCAAATACAGTTGCTCGAATAGTTTATATCGACAACGTGTCATGTCACACAACCGTTTCTCGAGTCATGCTCTAAATTCCAAAGACTATTATTTCCTATAAAATCCCTCGCTCAAAAGCCGATAGTATATTCAAGCGTGAGAAATTCTGCATAAATGCATAAATATTCGTAAAAAGGAAAGATAAGAGAAGGCAGGCACTGACGTGTAAAACTCAAGGAAGGAGAGCTTTCAAGGAATACCACCCGGGAAATACCGAAACTCCGGCAAAACAGTAATTACAAGCGATGCCTGAGAACTTTAATTTACATTGCCTACGATGCACATAACTATCTCTCCACAGGATGGTACGCCTGATAACGCCCTGCGCCTTTTGCTAATATGAAAAGTTCCGACGTCAAAAGCACGCTCTCGCCCTTATTGTACCCACTTGTATTTATACGCGACGTCGTATTCCGCGGTCTTTCAAAAATATTTAATAATACAAGTATGACGAAAGTTTCCGCATCTTATCGCGCAAGCTAAGGTACTCGTGATTTACATACGGCGTTAACTTTCAATGCAATTGCTCGTCTCGTTCGCCAGCGAAGTAAAACTCGTCACTACAAAGCGCACGGCGTTACGTCGCGATAATTAAAAAAGATGCGCAGAAGCTAAATACAGGTACGCGGCGCGTGGAAGACGCTTGAATAATTGTAAAGCTCCATTGTTCCTGTGATTTAACGGAATATCGAGACGTCGCTCAGGTTCATGGCAGTTAATTTCCCCCCTTCCCGAAGTGGTCCGCTGTGGAAAACTCTGTTTTCGCTTTCAATGCATTTTCTTACGATTCCTAGCCGTTCGAGCGAGCCTCTAGCCTTCCAATATCCGTTCTGTCGACCCTTCAAACTTTGAAGAGATTTCTGCTTCTGCCGCGCGCGGATCCTCGTAAGATAATTAAATTTACTTCAACGGCGCGAGGTATTGATCCTACAATACCCTACAATAAATTGCAAGAGATGTCTTGGGGCAAAGAGAGAGAGAGAGAGAGAGAGAGAGAGAGAGAAATATATATTTCGCTTCCCACAAATAATTATGTCATTCGTCAATTCGCTGATTGTCTCGTTGCAAAATTACGCAAAGTTACGCAACGGACGCGCGTAACTTCAGGACAGCGTGTCCTCTAATAACGTCACACGATCGTTCTCATATGCCGCCGCGAAGAAACAGCAAACACCTCCGTGTCATTTAAATGTCAGATATCTGGCAGCCGTTCGATGAGATTTAACAAACATTAACCTTCAACTTTTATGAATTATAAAGCGCGACCTTTCGCCGCGGGCCGGACTGAATAGATTCGCGAGCGTAAGAAAAACACCGAGCAGATCTCTCCGCTACCTAGAAGCTCTTTCCCGGCATTGTCAATCCTCAGAAGTCTTACGTAAACTTAGAGACTTTCGGCTTAAAAGCTCGCAAGCTCTCCTCTCGTAAAGTTTATGAAAATCACGCACGTTTAAGACAAACCTCCGGCGCACACACAGTCTCTCACAGCCGTTCGTCGGCTTTCGCGAGAGAATCTTGTTATTACGACGGAGGGGGCGGGGGGGCATGTGTGTGATCTTTTGACCTACAACCGCTTTAAATTTCAATCTGAGAACGGGATGCAACTGCTCCCGCGCGCCGCGTTCACGTTTTCCCACGAGATAAATATTTCAATGTGCGCCCGCGCCGAGAAAAGATATAATTTATTGTCTCCTATTGGGAGATCATTACACGAAGCTCCCGGTACAATTAATCTCTCCATCGCGAGCAGCCCGTCCGGCCGGCAATAAAATCGCGCACAGCGAATATTTTATCATTCTCGACGTTATCGATCATATTTTGCCACGTTAACGCCGGAAATATCCGACGTGGAATGAACGTGAATATATCCGAGAAAGAATGCTTCTCCCTCTCGCACGTTCACCAAATTTGTACAAAATGTACAAAGCGCGTTTCTCACGATATTTTTCATCGACAAATTTCGGCAACTGGGATCAAAGTAGAAAATGCTATGTTTTCTATATATAAAAAAGAAATAATTAATACACTCGAGTGACAACTACTATATTCTGAAGATTAGCCTGCCGTCTAAATGCAAATCTTGATAACGATCTTATAAATTTATACCGCTACTAGCCTAATGAATCTGGCACGCTGATAAACCGATGATATCCCGCGGAGTGATATCCAGCCGAGTGAAATGAATCGCGCGAATAATTAAATAACCCTATCTACTCCCGGCGATGTAAGATCGTCAGAGCGCGGGGGAAAGTTCCGACAACTTAATTAAAATATAACACGCCACTCTCCCCGGGCATATCTGCATACGTAAATAATCAATGTATGAACATTGCGCAGCGGCCAGTATAATCGCTGATGCGCAAGTTTCAAACGAATTGCCGTCTTCCCTTCCGGCCATGTGACGTCATACACGCCGCTCCGCGTGTAAAGACGTACAAAGCGGAAACTGACACGCACGCGGTACTTCCGCTACGTGTGACTCTCGCAAGAAACGCCGCAAGAAACGAGAGAATTCTCGTCAGCAGGGGATTCATACACGCGGTAGAACAAACGTGCGCGCGCACCAGCCTGCTGCGTGAGAATTCACCAAGAGATCGGACACAGAGATAGAAAGATAGAGATAAAGGGAGATAGAAATAGATAGATAAATAGATAGAAATAAATAGAGAGAAAGAGGGAGAGAGTAGCGTTCCCGGTATTTAGTCGTGCAAATCGCACTGCTCCTCACAGATACACGTGTCGATAATAATCCGTCAAACTGTCAGTCTAAGAATAGAAGCCTACATACGTATACATCGGTGATATTAACCTCCATCCAAAGCGTGCAGCTACATTTCACGATAATACCGTTCGATCGCACAATTGTTGACGCCCTCCGTCCACATCTCATTGTTGCTTAAAATGCTCGCGAACTTGCAGCAATTACGATACTCGTCAAAAAATTGACGAGTATCGTAATTTTAATTTAATACTCCAATTCGGTTACGCGAATTATATCAATGTTTTAACCTCGGTTAGTATATATTTTATTTCGTTGAAAAACCAAAGGCATCTTTCCGGCCAGCGGCCACTTCAGAGCCGCGCATAGAATATCCGCTCTCTCGTTACCCGGGAATTCGACTTACGCGATGCGATGGGCTCTCGGGAGTTTGCGACCATCGGGAACTACCTGCACCGATAATGACTCCGCGCGAAGCGGAAACGGACCGATGCTTTCGGCGATCTCGCGATTCCAGCTCGCTGTGCGGTGAGACTCGGCGGCGAATAATTATAACGAAAGTCGGCGAAGAGCTGATTGCGAGCGAGAAAGAGAGCAAGGACAGCCTTGTAATTTTCGGCAGCGGGATTGCCGCGTGCACCGGAAGGACCTGCTCGCCCGGTTTTTACGACGGGTTTTCAGCCAAGGAGATTAGCGACGCGCCATCGCGAAAATGCAACGGTGTCGTCGCAGTTGCAACGAACGCCACCGTTCATCTCTCTCTCTCTCTCTCTCTCTCTCTCTCTCTCTCTCTCTCTCTCTCTCTCTCTCTCTCTCCCGCGATCTCCCTTCGCCTTCGTCTTCTTTAACCCGGATTCGCGTGTCTTGATTACATTCTCGCGGTATTTGGCCACTGTGGTACGTCGCTCACAAACCAAAAGCCGCTTGTTTGCATTTCATCACTTTAGACACGATCGATACGAACGTGCAATTTAATTCCGTAATGTTCGCTGCCGTTGGCCGGGATTAACGAAAATAAACAATAATTCGTGCCCATTTAGATAAAAACGAACGATCGCACAATTCAGCGATTACAAAGTAATGAAATTTCGCGCGAGTGCTTGACATTTCGTCGTTTAAATGGTATCCGAATATTCTCGTAGCTCGCGTAGCATCGGATGTCAAAAATTAACGGTGAACGCGAGAATATGAAACAAACGGATAATAATCAGCTCAATAATGAATGATTGTTACTATCGACGAATTTCCCCCGTCAATTGAATCACGAAGACCGGAACAGGTGGGACAATGTGAAACCGACGGGTTTGTTGTTTGCATTACGCGCGGCTCTCGATATTTTCGTCACGCCCGCTCACGGCAATTATTTCCTCGTTACGGCCGATCGGTCTTGCAAAAGTTCGCGCGACCGCGGAAACGGCCGTTTTGCGCGCAGTGACACAAAAGGTATATTCCGTGCGTCGTTGGCCTCGGTTCAAAAACGCCCAAAGCTACGCGTAACTTTCGTCCCCGGTGTCTTCAAAAACGCCGACGGACTTGTTGCTGGATGCAAAACAGCGACGTGTTTGGCGCTGGCAAATGGACAATTGGCCGGCGACGTTTTGCACGCAATATCAAGCCGCGTGTTCCTCTTACGTCTTCTTCTCCTTGCGACGACGATCGTAACCGCGTACAAACCGCGTCTTTGTACACGTCGATCCTCGCCTCGCGTCTCCGAAGGCGCTCGAGTACGAAATCAATGTTTCGAGAGTCCTTGTTGCGGCTACCATCGTCGATAGCCACGATATAATCGCGAAGATAACACCGGTAAAAACGAAACCACGCAGGGGAATTAAAGAGGAGTTCACGGCTTCTCCTTTCGTAGTTACGCTCGCAGCACGTCAAAGAGCCTTTCGCGCGATAAGGAGAGCTTAACGAGCATCTCCATCGTTCGCTCTGGCGTCCTTTGATCAGCATAAGCTGCTCAAGCATCCTGTACATCACCACGTATATACGCGGCGTTCGTTACATATATACATGGGTGGAATGCGGTAACGACAGTACAC